CTTCTTTTTTAAAAGTTATATTTTAATCAATAAAATATTATTTTCCAATCTCACCTAAATCCTAACCGCTTCTATTCTCAAATTACAACACAACATTAAAACAGTATTACAAATATTAAATCACTTTTTACACTCAAAAATAGTTATAAATTAAAATAATAAGACAGCTATATTGTAAGTGAAAACACACACACACAACTCCACTAACAGTCAACTGTGAAAAATGAATGGGTAATTCTTTCAGTGACAAAATTGTGTTGTTATTATTATGATAATATTTACAAAATAAGTTTCCAAGGAAACATATTAAAACTATACCATGGAAAACAAGTTCAATTGGTGACTTTCTACTTGTTCTTTTCCTTTGTATTTTCAGTTCCTAAGATTATAGGCATTAAGACAAAAGTAAATAGTTATATCTTTTTTCACTAAAACCATTAGCTTCATAGGTCAAAATCCTGCAGTGTATTTAGAAATCATCCACGTATGACAAATATGAGATAATCCAACATGTGTCTGAAGAATTACTACAACGTACCAGAAAAGTATTTCATAATAGTCACTTTTACACAAGGTTCTTATATTGAAGAAAAAAATCTTAAATCCTATAATCAAGGATGGCCTTACATTATTACTGTAGAAAATTGAACAATTTCCAGTATAGGCCTAAATATCTTAAATGTTAATCATTTTCTGTAATACGAGGACTTTTCATATGAAGAATTAAAGATTTTTTCCATACAGAAGCTATACCTGCCAAAGTCATCAGAAGTGGAAGGAATTTATCCAATGCTTTTGAACTAGGAAAATTCTATTGATTACTAGTGCTTCAAGGTTACAGAGATCTAATTCTATTTCTTAAACCTAGCATTCGGTTACTCGTACTTTTTATTAAAACTTTTAAATGTTACCTAATTCAAATATGCAAATATTCACTGATAGTCACTAGGAATAAAAAGCAAACATACTTTTGAGGGCAACCATTAGTTGCAAGTTTAAAATATGAAAAATCTGAAGAGGGTTTATGATAATAATGCAACTGAAAAGGAAATTTAATTGTTTCTATAGCATGCAATACAAAGAACCCATTCCAAGCAAATTTTAGATAAAATGTCTCCAAGGATAATGATTAAAACTATTTTCAAATAAGCCTTTGAATATTAGGTCTGATTTATAAAACTGAATTTCTATAGAATAAAATATTTTAAGATTTAATATAATAATGCTGAGACATAATTTATCTTATATGAAGAACATCAAGAAAAGTCATTCAGAAAGTCCAGAGTAGTGCCTAGACCTCTGTATATTTATAAAACTTCAGTAAGTCTCATCTGCAATCTCAATTAAGAAACACTGGCCTAGCCCTGGCCAGTGGCTCAACTGGTTGGGGCATCATCCTGTACACCAAAAAGGTTGTGGGTTCGATTCCCAGTCAGGGCACATACCTGGGTTGTGGGTTTAATCCCTGGTCTGGGGATGTACGTGAGGCAACTGATCGATGTTTCTCTCATGTTGATGTTTCTCTTTCACATCGATGTTTCTCCCTCTCCCTCCCCACCTCCCTCTCTCTCTCTAAAAATCAATCAAATCATATCCTCGGGTGAGAATTAAATAAAAAAAAAAGAAAGAAACACTGGCCTAGAAAATGCTAAATTCAGATTAAAGAAGGTTGTGGCCAACACTTTAATCACATCGAAACAATGATAACAATACATTGGCACTGCAGGATGTCATCAGAAAGAGTACCACTGGGACTCTGATGAAGGAAAACTCTCCAGAACAATGTTATACATATGGTCAAGGTTAAGACAAATCAGATGTTGAATATATATGATAAATGAATTAAGCAAAAAGAATATTGAGAGTTGATATTTGTTGATAGAGTGATAAAAATGCTTAAGACTGTTCATTTACTGGGAATGAACAGTTTCAGTTGATGAGAGGAACAGTAATTAGGATAAGCTATGTCACTGGCTGATAAAGGAAAACAGATTAGATTTAGAAAGAAAAAGAACATATTTCATTTCTTATATCACCCAAAAACTATATCCCAAAGACAGGTTTAAGAATGTATTTATGGAAGACAACTTTAATGATGTATTTGAAGAGACCAACCTTCACCCCCCACACGCTATTACAAATTATATTATTTAATATTTATATAATATAGTCCATAAACTTTCATCTTTCCTTGGAAAGGTGATAAAGACAGTGCTACTTCTTTTTAAATATAAATATATAAAAGGCGCTAACATCTTTAAATTCAATTAAAAGATTTCCATTAGTGATTTCTTCAGTAGTAACAATATAAAATATACTTAAAGACAAAGACCATGAGTCCATCATTAAATAAAAATCTGGTATTCAAGTTAAAATTTTCTTTGCCTATTCTTATTCAAGAAAAATACAAAAAAATCTTGGGTTAAGGTTCAACTTTCACATCGAAATTCTAATTAAGTATGAGGATACACTTATTCCTTCAGAAGCATAAAACTGATTTGCAATAACAGTTCTTTAAGAATATTTATATATCTTACACAGAAAGAAGGGGGGGGGGGAACCTTACTGATGTCCCTTACTAACGACAAGTGACTACTTGGCATTTTCTCTCCTAGGAAAGCATGCATCCTAAAAAAAGCACTGCGACCTAAAGAAAATAGAAACTTATTCATAGCTGACATGAGCTTTACAAGCTTAAAATATTTTTAACTATTGATTTTAGAGAGAAAGAGAGAGAGAAACATCAATTTGTTGTTCCACTTTTTTATGCACTCATTGGTTGATTCTTGTATGTGTCCTGACCGGGCATCAAACCCACAACTTTGGCGTATCCAGATAACACTCTCACCAACTGAGCTATCCAGCCAGGGCCCAAGCTTAAAATATTTTAAACCAACTAACCAAGTTTCATTTTTATATACTTTCCTAATTTTCATGCCATGATTTATTTTATCTTCTCTCCTCTAATTTTAACTAAGAAAATGACAGAATACTAACTGGGGAGAGTTGGAAAAAGGCTTATAAAGCCTCTTTATTTTCTAAGTGAACACAGCTATTGTATGTTTTCATACTTGACCTCACTTTCTAAAAGTAAAATCATCTTATTATAAATCTCTCCTAATCAACAGGATGCTGAGAATTTTATTTCCATCATCACCAGTGTCAAGAAACAAAGACAAATGAAAAGTTCTGCAGACTTTATAACAGCCAAGTTGAGATAGTATATTCATTAACTGAAATGTCCACCTGTTAGTCCATTCTAATGATATTAATATTTCCCATTATATAATATAGAAACAATTTCTATAGATATCATCTAAATACACCAGAATCTCCCAAAGTATATCTTTCCAGTGATTTTATATAGTGATTTTTAATTCATTGGACTAAACTATTTAAAAGAGAAATATATTATTTAACCAATGGTTCCACTATATTTGCTTATTTTAATAGATAGGCTTTAAGTTCTGTTCCTCTAGACTGTTGCTAGTATTCTCAAAGATTTTCCTCAAAATTCTACATTTTGGGTTTTTACTTTTTGGACAGAGTAATAAAAGGTATAATTCCACTGCTCTGCACATCTACTGTTAGTGTAAGTAGGGTATCTGTTTTAGTGTGAACAAAGCTGCCTGCTTGTGCTATAAAATGAATACTGCTTATTCAGTTGCTCCATCTAGAAAGCAGCAAAGTAAAAAAACCATAAATTTTAATTTTCCCTTGGTAATCTAAATTAAACTTTTTATAACTTATAAGCATTCAAAATAATTTCCAAAACCTGTATTAAGTGGCCTTAAAAATAAAGAAGACATCCTTATACCAAAATATCTGAATAAGTAAAAGTTCCAAAGTTTTAATTTTAAAAGTTGTGGTTTTTTCACAGATTAACATTTAAAATGCCAAAAATCAATCATGTTAGTTCTGCTAACTTGAAACTTCCTAAAAATGTAAAATTAAAATTAAAATAGAATGACAAACTAATAAAAGGAATAAGTCATAATTCTCTCTACTGACTTGTTTTGAGACATTTTCACCACAAATTCCTCAAAAAGGAAACCTTCACATTTATATGTTCTATTTTACAGTTGCTGCACCAATTTATTTCAGTGTTATTTACCTCAAACATAACTGTTTTTTACTGAATAAAACAGGATTTAAAATAATTAGGAAGAAATTCTTCTAGTATATAACCTTTTATTAATCCAGACTCAGACTGAATGTACTCAAAAAGCTTCCCTACACAGAATCATTTACTTCTTATAAATTTTTACTAACTCATAGAGTTATAAAGAAAAGGGTAGTAGATATTGCGGGCAACAGGAGAGAAGAACTGCAAAGGGGAAACTTTTCAAAGATTCAATTGAGATGACAATTGGATATAAGGAAACCTATGATTTGTGGAATGAAAAAGAATATTCTTATTTTAAGAAGCTATTAGTGTGGAAAATATTCTTTTTGTCCTGATCACAGACCCCTTTAAAAAAGCCATTCAACCATTCATTCCTGAAAAGAATGTAAACACACAAAATTTTCACACAATCTCAGGGGACTCATAAATGCCCCCAAACCCATGGAATCTCAAATTAAGGACACTCAGAATTGTAAAAGCTTTCTGACCTAACTCAAAAGATGACCTTATGAAAGCACTAGGTTTAACACTCTTTTTGAATTCCAAAATAAATCTACCAGCTTTTTAGTATAAAATCTTGAATAATAAAGCATAATATAACATTTACCTCTGCATAATAAAAATAACTGTAATCCTAAAAGTTATACATAACATGAAATAGAAATCTGAATTTTTAAAAATTACTATATCCAAATGACTAGTTTAAGTTATACATGTCTTTTCCATTCATTCATCTATCACGTGGAAGACCTACTGAGAAATGTAATATATTTGAGTATTATTGCTAAGTATTCTAATTATCACGGGAAAACAGAGTATTTGCTTAGTAAAGAAAAAGTCAAGAAATTTTGAACTTTGCAGAAATAAACTGTGCTGCAAATGCTATGGAAAGAACCCGTCAAAATCATAACCAGTACTTTGTATCTCTAGTTTCTCTTATTCCTACTCAACTTTTATTATTTAAGAATAATAATACATTTCAATAAAATTTTACTAGTAATGTGCTAAGTAGTAGTGGAATTAGCCAATGTACCAGTTTCAATAGTCTTTTTTTCAACTTATCATGAAAACCTGGAATTTATACTGAGTTTTGAAAATCCAAATACACAACAAATACCTTTAAAATATTACTTCCAATCAGGAGTTCCACAAGTAAATTGATTTTTTTTTTAGTTTGGTGGTCAGTAAATAGGAAAATTATTAACTAAAATATATTAAAAGCCATGTCTTTCAACTGTCTTGTTATCTGTACTCCTTTATTAGATATACCTTAAGTACTGCTGTTTAGAATTATAAGCATATTAAATCTAACTTCTTCATTTTTAGAAGTTCGTTTTTAAAAATGGATCTAATGATCATTAGAATGGACCACTAACTCTAATTAAGTGTACTTTCTCAAATCTATCATACTGGGGACCAAGAATTAGTTTAAAAGATTGGATTCAATAATGTTAACCAGAAAATTTTTAAGTGAATTATAATACAGCTGACATCTTTATACATATATCATACCAAATTTTGGTAAGCCCAAACTGATTTTCAGGGATGAAAGCCCCGAAACATTTCACATAGTTGAGAGATGTGGTTAAAGTGACAAAGCAGTAAATCAAGTTTCAATTACCCATGACATAAGATGGAAATGACAATCAGTTGGAATCTTGAGTATTATACTCAGTTTCTCCCGATGAAATCTGGCTGAGCCGCTTGCTAGATCCCCACAATTTTCTAGAAAGCTGACCTGAACGCATCTGTTTAAAATAATCCAGAGAAATGAAGAATAAATATTATTAAGGAAGGAAAAAAAGCAATAAATAAAATTGATAAAGATGACATTAATTTTGTAGAATGCAGAAAATAAGTTGTTAGCAGAATCATTAACATTTTAATGATTCTTGATGAATAAAGAAAGGTTTCCCTAAGTTGAATGTCTTTCAGTTGAGAATAGTCTAACACCAACATGGAAATTATTAAATTAAATATGTCCCAATTATATCAAATTTACCAGACTGCCTTACTTTACATTAACAAAAATATTTTTCACTTCATTAAAATGGTCTTTTCAAATTATATTTAATCTAGCTAAGAAGATACATAGGTTTGAGATTTTTCTCCTCTTGTATGCAGTACTATTAATGCTAATTACAATAAGAAGTAATATGTTTCAATGAAAATAAATTTTTAATATTTGATATAAAAATTTCAAAAATTATTTAATGATAAAATTTTAAAAAGTAATTTAGAAAACAAGAAGAGCATAAATCCTTTGATGGTAAGAATCACATTTTGTCCACCATAAGATTTAAACCACTTAGCACACTTCTCAGCATATAACAATTATTAACTAAATATTATTTTTATTAAATATTAATTGAATCAGTGAATAAATGCCCCTCTAAAAATGCTTAGACTTCTAGGTAGGGAAAAATATAAAAGCCACATGGGAAACATTTCTCAACCTAACTATATGATTTATTGCAATTACTTTCTACTTTTAAATGGTGATTTATCTGCCGCCCTTTTGAAATGCTTACTTTTCCAGTGTACATTTACTGGAGTGATAAAAGGCAAGCCTCATGCAAAGACACTATGCCATGCTTATTTTGCATTTTTGTTTCCAGATGTATTTCCAGAAACGAATTTCCATTAATCTATTACCACTTTACTATCTAATTTATAAATATGAAATTTCATACTGACAGTATAGTATATAAAACTGATACATGTTTTTAAAATACACATCAAGATTTTTATCTTTTAGGGAAAAATAGATCTTAAGATAGAAATTTTTCATAACTACTCATCTATTTAATTTCTACACTGTCATATAACAAGATTCTAATATTCAATTATTTACCAAAGTTGATCAATAATTAAGCTAATACATCCAAAAATATAAAAAATACTTTTATTCAAAATCTACACACAATTTAGGTTCTGTGTTGTAGACTACATAAGTCTTCCAAGAGGACAAAATACTTATTTGGTAAATATTACATAACATTGATTTAGGCCTATAAAATGAAACTGCTTAGGCATTTTTCCCCCAATTAAGTTTTAAAGAAAATGGTCATTTAATTTTTAAAACTTCAGTACAATCAGAAACTGACAAATTACTTAAGGTGAGGGGGAGGGCAGGCAAATTTAAAGGCAACTGAATAAACTATAGGGAGTGAAGCATAGTCAAAGAGTAACATCTGGGCAGAATTTTTAAGCAATCTCATTAGCAGAAGACAGGAGGGCACTATTTATTTAGGAAATGTATTAATCAAGAAACTTTACTGTTTGTTGAATGAAAGAATGCTTAAAATGTTTTAAATACAAGTGAAATACCAAAATATAGTGTTACTGACACTGGGGGACTGTTACATCCAAAACAAAATATTGTTGCAGTCACTTTAATAAAACCTATCTTGTGTTTAAATAATATCCTGAAAAAGAATACAACTAATGAAATCTTAAAATATTTATGAAACGAAACAGTTCCCATTATTTGTGATAGTTTATTAACCACTGACATTATATTCAGTAATATCTTCTCTTGAAATAACCAGTACAGATGTCATATTTTAGATTTCTCAGAAAAGATCAATTATATCAATAAAAATTCATAATGCTTAATTTGATGCTCAATACATTTTCTAGAATAATCACTAAATTACGTGGAGTGCCTGCTACTAAGTTTTCAAGAACAGTGTTACATTTATGATATCTGAATGTTCAGTAATTGATAAGCTATTGGCAAATAAATTCACAGTGACTACAGAAAATTCATGGAGAATTAGCAAATTATATGCGGATACTTGTAGTTCCAAGTAAAAAATGATGTCCTTTTGCTTTTACAAAAGGACAACTGATACACAATCATACTGAGTATTCGTTGAAATACAGTTTTATACAGATTAGTTTTGCATGTTCTTGAACTTCATATAAATGGAATCATTTAGTATGTGCTCTTTTATGTCCGCCTTCTATCACTATGCATCATAAGTTTAAAATTTATGTTGTTACATGTTTCAATAGTTTGTTCCTTTTATTGCTGGGAAGTATTCCATTGTACAGTTATCTCAAATTTATTTACTTCCCTGTTGACAGACATCTGAATTATTTCCAATTTGAGATTATTATAAATAAAGCTAATATGAAAATAAAGTGGTTCTATTGTTTGAATCTAGATTTCATTTTTTTATAGAGGCTTTTATATACTAAAAATCCAAGAAGTGGTCTTAAATCTATATTTGGGAAGATAGAGAATAAAAGAACTTTCTTATTCACATAGAGTGACACATGGAAACTGTTAAATGTGTGCTTTCAATTATATCATAACATAAGCATCATTCTTTAATACTAACTTTAACCCCTTTTTCATAGTTCTTTGAAATATCAAATTTTTAAAATTTCTTTATCTATAACAGATATTTTTTAATTCAATTGGAACAAAGGAGAACCAAAAGAATCCCCCAGAGTATGGGAAATGAAATTCTTAACTAGGTTTTACCTCAGCCTGCTTGCCAACACCCACTACAATCAATTTTCCATCTTCTAATCCTACCAGAATATGGCTGTATTCTTTGGTTACACAAACACAGTGGATAGGCATTCTCATGGCTAATGGGGTGATGCTGAGATTCAAACTAGGAGAGAAAACAAAACCACACACATAATTACATGGGTATATAATAGATTCTTAGAATTTTATACCTGGAAGTTAACTTAATGATGATCTAGTTCTGCATTTTAATATTGCACATCTGGGATTTAGGTTCAAAAAGTCTGAGTGCCTCACACAAGGGTCCACATTTATAGCATTACTTAAAACACTTAACAGATCTTTTCTTTATTCCCAACATGTTTTTCTTCTAACCAAACATATGAACTCTCACTAAACAATTTTTATCTTGTTGACTAGCAAGTTAAAGTTGGATAAAAAGGGCAAAAGCTCAAAAAATATGTATGTGGGAGGAGAAAGTCAGTAAAATTGTTCTATTTACTTTGTCTTAAAAGATATATATAATACATAAAACATATAGAGTGTAAAATAATAAATATTTAAAATATGCTATGAAATATAACATGCCCTTATGAAAAATGCCCACAGCTTTTATAGAAAATTAAGAATTCTATGATGTAATTAATACGTTCTACACTAACCTGCTAAAATATCCCATTAATTTTTTCTAATTTGGGATTTTCTTAACAATATCTTGAAATAAGGGTTGTAAAACAAAACGCTGGAACAATGTGATTAGAATGGGGACTCAATGCTCTACCAGAGATGAAAGATAAAAATGAGAAGGAAAAATACAAAAATAGAAAGGGATGTTGGTTAAAGAGTGATTCTGATTGAATGCAATAAGACAGAACATCTTGAATCAGGAAATAATTCATAAAAAAAGGTTTTGGGAAAGGCCAAGATAGTTTGAGGAATATAAATAAGCTACAATTTTTTAATAAAGAGAAAAAAAAAGAATGTATGTGAGCATAAAGGAAACAAAACATAACCACTATTCAAACACCCTTCTCCTTCACTGTATTAAACAAGATTCTCCACTAATGTTATCCACACACATAATCATAAACAGATACATTAGCCTTTAAAATACTTTAGTTTGGCCCTAGCTGATTTGGCTCAGTGGTTAGAGCATCAGCCTTCAGACTGAGGGTCCTGGGTTTGATTCCAGCCAAGGGAACGTAACTCGATTGCAGGCTGGGCCCAAGTCAGGGCACGAGCGGGAAGCAACCACTCAATGTGTCTCTCTCACATGGATGTTTCTGTTTCTCTGTCTCTGTCTCCCCCGTCCACTCTCTCTGAGAAAAAATATGCTCGGGTGAGGATTAAAAAAATAATAATAAAATAAAATACTTTAGTTTGTTTTACCACAATTTAAAAATTATTTTTTTAAAGGCTAACTTTAGTTTGTAAAAATTCAAACTGTAATTGGACAAATTTCCAAATCTATAATCCAGGGTTGGCACTTTCTGGATATTTTTAAAAATTTTTTAAATTGTGGTAAAATATATATAGCATAAAATTTTCTACATTTAAAAAATGTACATCTATATTTCACTTACTAATCCAGGAATAAATTAGCTTCCTCATTTTTTTCATACTTGCCAAAAAAGACACATTCATAATAAATGACAAATCAAAAGATTAGAAACTTTACACTGCTGATTTTCACTCTAGGTCGAAAGTACTATCCCTTTTAAAGTGATACTTCAATAATTCTTATTATTTACCTGTGGAGGTCTCTTATGGACAGGAACCCTTGTAAACTACCCATGACAATGTGTTCTCCAATTATGCATATATCTGATACTTGTTCCTTCAGGACTTGAGACCCTAGATACTTTCCATTTACAGAAAACAGATGCAATGCATCCTTATCCTGCAAAGATTAGATGAAGACAATTTAATGATCTCAATTTAAAATGGAGTTTTAATACTAATAAACTATGACTATAACTGAATGGTTAGTGGGTAAAACACTGAAATAAACACATGGTTATATTTAAAGAGAAAGTGTGTAGACAATATTATCAAACCACCAAGTATATAAATATTAAATAAGAACTCCTACTCCTTCAAAAGAATTAAAATCTCACCCAGTCCAAAAAAACTCTACATTCTTAAAACAAAATAGATTCTCTTAATTTTTAAAAAGTTTTATCACTGAAAGGAAACATAAAATTCATGTCTTGTTTATTTATACCTTGCCTTGGCAAAAAAAATTTAATTTGGTTATAATATCCACTTAAGCTTATGAAGTCCCACATAATCAGAAATTATTTTTGAAATCATATATTATATAGGCCAATAGAAATCCCTAAAACAAGATACAACTATAAGGCCAAGATTGTGACAGGGTAAGGTAATGGTAAGGAATGAACAAATCGAATGATGAAAGGAAAACAACCTTTTAAAAATATGGTCTTCTTTCCTTCCTCAAAATATTTCATATAAATAATGTGGGAAGGGAAAGACAAGCTTATAGTATAGCCCTATTGCATGAAACTGTTAGATACCTTGAGAGTGGTCTTTTCTTCAATGCTGGAATAGATGACAATATGTCCTTCCCAAGATATAGCCAAATTGGGAATGGTCACGAGCAGAGAACTCTCACAAGGTGGTCGTAAAGTCCTCATGTACTGACCTTTCTGAATAGTATGTATAATCACAGTGCCATCCTACACACAGAAAATATTAGAAAATGATAAAGACAAATAAAAAAGACACCAAAATAGAAAATAAAAGAAGTGGGCTGAATAAAGAAATATAGGAAAGAAACTGAGAAAGTGATTATTCCATCAAGGACAGATGTGGAAAAATTCCAATCATGAAATTCCAAACAGTATTTTATTTCATAAAATGCCCTGTTACCCTTAATAAGACCAGTAAATTCCCCAAATAAAATTCTCTTTAAGTTTGTTCTTTTTGCAAGTCTTCTAATTTTGCAAAGTCCTACTCATAGTAAAAAATTTCTATAATTTTATCAAATCCCCTACAAAAAAATTAAATACAAATATTGCTCTAGCCCTGGCTGGGTGGCTCAGTTGGTTGGAGTATCATCCTGTACAACTAAAGGTTTCAGGTTCATTTCCAGGTCAGGGCATGCACCTAGGTAGCAGTTTCTATCCCCAGTCAGGGAGCACATGGGAGGCAACCAATCAATGTTTCTCTCACATAGATGTCTCTCTCTCTCTCTCCCTGCCTTCCTCTCTCTCCTAAAATCAATTTTTAAAAAACCTCAGTGGATATATATACATATATATAATCTTCTAAATTTATAGAAAAAATTAGCATTTCTTAAAGGTGAAATCTTACCCTTGATCCTGACGCTGCCATATCTAGCTCAGTGCTGATGCCGACACTCAGTACCTCATCAGTGTGTCCGTACAGAATCTGAAAGGGTTTAGATGCTAAGCCCACAGGAACACCTCCCTAATATTAAAAGAGAAAAGCAAAGGTAATTTTCTTGTAGGCTATTTTCTATTAAAAGATTTATGCTGTATTTAAACTGTTTAATTACAAACTAACATTGCAACTAGTTCTTACCACTGATTCTGTTCACAGGACTCATTCTTGTTTCTCCTTAGGTTGTCAAATTATTCTCAATCTTTGGTAGCTCAAAAACAATCTGAATAGTTTCAAAGTTAATTATTTTGGATTAATTTTAACAGGTATATTGTTTCCCCTTTTCATCTATAGATTATTATCCCTTCACTTCAAAGAAACTTTTTGTATTATATTTCTGAATACTTTCTCTTTTTCATTTTTTGGAGTACCTATTTCAAGGATGTCAGTCATCTTTAAGCTAAATTCTCTGATTTCTATAGCAATTCTTTTTCTAATTGCTTTAATTATTTTGTTTTTACATTTGTATTCACTTTGATTACTACATTAATTCTATCTTCCATGATAATATTATTTTTAGCCACATCAAATCTGCTCTTTACTGTTTCTGCTTTGGATTTATGATTTTAATCTGTTTGATTCTTCCATACAATCTCCCTTTCATCTTAAAATGCTATTTTATAATTTCAATTCTGAGGTTCTATATTCTATAGAATATGTACATATATTATATATATTACATATTACATAACATAGAAAAATTATTTATCAATGAATTAAATATTGAAATGTAAAGCAAGAAAAGTATTACAAAAGAATTTTTAGTTAATACTTTTATAAATCTGGAGAAGGAAAAAGGCTATTAGACAAGGTAGAAAGTTCAGAAGCTATAAATAAAAAAGATACTTCTTTGAACAAACATTATTATGAGAGTAAAATAAGGCTGATGAAAATTATAAATCTGTAATTTCTAGCAGTCCCACTGAAAGGAAAATAGGAATATTATGTTAACAGGACAAGAAAAACACTTGTTTTCCTAGAAGAAGTTAACAAAGAGGAGTTTCTGGAAAATAAGAGGGGATAAAAGGTCAAGAAAGAGACAATAAACATAGGGGAAAATGTGATGGTAATTTAGAACAGGGCAGAATGAGGGTAAAAAATGCAAAGGAGCTCAAATAATCATTCAATGCCAGAGAACAACTCCCTATTCTGTTAGAACATTTCAACAGTATTCCCAAGGTGAATCTCGGATCTAAATAGAGTATTTAAATGCGTAACTACCTGTTGTGTTATCTGCCATATCATACATGTAGTATCTCTGGAACCAGAAATCAAATGTATTCCACAGTAATCTGTAGCTAAACAAGTCACAATATCTGTTAAGAAAAAAAAAGATTTTTTTCAATAAAATGGCTTGGTTTTGCTGGAACAGAACAGGGTAATTTTACTTTATGCTCAAACTATTACTAAATCAGTTGTTCTAATGGAGAAATATAGGACTGGCATTGGAAAATCATTGGGAAAGAGTGACACTGAAAAGGAGCAGTATTAAAATCACATAAGAGAGCTTTTTTTGAGGTCACCTTTCTTTGAGGGTAAAGTGTAGGCAAGGGGTGGGGAAATGCCTATCAGAATCTTGGTAGGAGGCCTGGTAGCTTAAAATAAAGCCCCGGTAAATTTTGATCCGCTTCTCTGCTCACTCATCCCCATTCACCTTCCACTCCCACTGGGAACTGCAATCCTATATAATGTGACCTTAACCAACATAGTGCACATTACACCATAGAGTCACAATATAAAATACATTTTTCCTCAATTGTAAAAATCTCAGTTAAGTGATATCTTAGAAGTCACTGGTACAGAATTAGTACCAGACTCTATTCCTTTTCTTATTACGTTTATTAGGGGAAAATCCACTCGTTTTCTTATACTGAACACCAAAACACTAAGAAGTACCAGGTTAAAGAATTCAACAATTTTCCCTCCTTCATGTTTTACTATTAACAAAGTAATAGGGCAGTTGATTTATTTATTCAACTATGACAGATTTTTTTTACCATTGTCTCAAAATTCTTATTTCTATCAATAATTTTTTTAAAAAGACTTAGCCTAACACCTTTAACACACTATAAAATTGTTTAATTTATATGGTGCTTAATATACCCAAAATATATTATTGACGCTCTGAAACAAAGCATACAATATTCAGAACACTTCATCAAAAATTTCACTCAGCTTCAAAGGTAAAATGTGATGTTTTTTCTAAGAAGTATGTACTACTTTTTTTTTTTTTACACTTCTATAGTTAGAAAAAAGAGACATTTGTGTGTTTGGGGTGGAAAAGAACGTTAATGCTTACCCATATGTCTGATATTGTGTGAAATAATTTTGCCTTTTGTAAGTGACATCACTTGAATGCTATTATCCCAGTGTCCAGCACTGAAAAGCAACTTCCCATCATGTGACACTATAAATAGCTTAGAAGTGATCTCCAGCCCTGGAGCAAAAGGACCATTCAGACTACGCTGAGTTCTGTAAACACAATTAAATATTAGACTTTTGGTACTTAACTATTTTTTTAATGTCTCTAAAAAAGAAATAAAAATAAGTCTGTTCAACCTTCATTATGAAATGTCTATTGATAAATGATTAAGACTTTCAGAAAATACATTAATCTTACTTTATTCATATTTTTCATGAAATAAAATTTCATATGACAAAGCCTGCAGTTAGATTAAGCATAAAGAAAATGAGATTGTTAAAGATGTCAGAAAGATTTCAATCTTGCTTTTTCAAAGCCAACTAGTAAGATTGTAAATTCTGTAAATTGCAGCTTCAAAGTACAGGGTGGGTAAAAATAGGTTTACAGTTGTAATACATAAATAACACAATAATAATAATAACACAAGAATAAACTCTGTGTTTCATGTACTCACAGCTGTTAAACTACTTTTGCACACCCCTGTATAAAGACAAGATAATATATACCAGCACTGGAAAAGTCAGAAATAAACTGAAACTAGGGATCTACTGCACAGGCAGATAAATGTGTATCTAACATGAAGATCATTTTCCATTCCAAATAAAGAAAGCATACGGGTTTTATCTGCTTCCCACTGAAATAACTATGCACTTAGCAAATCTAAATTCTACAGAAACACACAAAGAAGTGATTATACTTCAGTATGTGTTCTGGAAAATGAGGGCCAATTCTGACACTTTTTTCAGCCTTAGACCTTTATTATTCAATATTAATGTGCTGAAGGTATGCAAAGCCCAACAGTACCTACATGGGATAAGAAGAAAAGACATTGCCCCTAATAAATATATAGCTAAAACAACTCAAGAGTCAGGGAAACATCACCTGAACTTAGAATATAACCTTTGGATATTTTAAAAGATAACTAAGGTAAATAATAAAGTCTTATTATATAAAACACATTGATAATACTGAACAATAAAAATACAATTAAACCTAAAACCTATTCCTAATAATTTTTGCTTCCATAATGGTATGATAGAAATTGTTTTGTCTTTAAACTGATATCAAGTCAGAGGGAGGGAGGGAAGGAATAAATAAAAGATAGAGAGGCCAAGCCTGGCTCAGCAGTTGAGCATCGACCTAGGTTCCAGGAGATCATGGTTTGATTCCCAGTCAGGGCACATGCCCAGGTTGCGGGCTCCATCCCCAGGGGGGCATGCAGGAGGCAGCAGATCAAAGACTCTCATCATCAATGTTTCTCTCTCTCTCTCCCCCTCTTCCTTTCTCTCTCTAAAATCAATAAAGACATATTAAAAAAAAAGAGAGAGAGGATGCCCTAGCTGGTTTTTGCTCAGTGGTTAGAGCTCAGCTTGTGGACCGAGGGATCCAGGTACAATTCCAGCCAAGGGCACTTACTGGGTTGCAGGCTCAATCCCCGGCCCCAGGCCGGGGCACATATGGGAGGCAACCAATCGATGTGCCTCTTTCACATCAATGTTTCTCTCTCTCTCTCTGACTTCTACTCTCTCTGAAAAGCAATGGAAAAAATATCCTCAGGTGAGGATTAACAATAAATAAATTAAATAAAAGAGGAGAAAAGGAGAGAGAAAAGAAATCTGGATATATATAATATTACTTTCAAAATAAAACCAATCAATCAATCTAGTTGTTTTTCTTGGCAATAAGATATTGTACCTGATTTGCTTTAAATGTTCATTTACTTACTTTGGATTTGTCACAGTTTGATCCTTGAAGAATGTAAAGTAATTAGAAATGTCTCTGTCATAAGGCAGCCATCCATGGGTTCCAATAACATAATTCATGCTCACTGTTATCTAGAAAAAGAACATATGAAGATGGAAATTAAAGATTACAAAAAGCAACACAGAATAACCAAATGCTCACACGATGTAATCAGAAGTAGAGCTTATGATGAATTGTCAAGCTGTCCCTTCTTAGTGACAGTCACTGAATATCTTCTTTTAAAAATGAAAAGCTGTTCTCTCCTATGATTATAAAAGTAGGAGATTACCAAAAAGAAAAATCAGATACCTTTAAAAAATACAGGTATTAAATCTGAAAAATTACAAGAATTCTACCACTCAAAAAATACTATTATTATTTTTGTATCTTTCCCAACCTTTTTTTTCTGAGTAAACATACATTATACATAATTAGAAAAACAGGTCTAATTCTGGAATCTCCACTGTTCACTCCATTATACTCCATTTTTATAATTTCTAAATGATAAAACTGAAATAAAACAGGCCTAGGTTTGGTCCATGTACCAGGGTCCCAGATCCCTTACTTGCTAGCTCTGTGATTTTCAGCAAGTTACTTCTGAGATTTAATTTCTCATCTGTAGAAGAGAAATAGTAATACTGCCCATCCTTACAGGGTATTTAGATGGATTGACAAAATTCATGTAAATCACTCACTAGCATGCCCTGCATGTAAACTGTAATCAATTCGGTATTATCTCTCATTTTCATAGTTACTACTGCTATATGATAAATTTTAATAGCTCATAAGATGTTATATTCTATTTTTCTTATACAAAATTTCCTCATATTTTTATATATTTATTATTTCATATAAACTTTAACATAACAGCTGTGTAAGTGAAAAATACATTTTTATACTTGGTCAAATTCTATAAAAGTTTTTTCTTTTTAAAGCTTTAAAATTTTTTTATTTCCTCCATTTCTGTAAGTTGTAATGGATGGCAGTATGAAAAAGGTATAAATCAACTTACCAGTAACTCAGGACTGCCTTGAGACATAAAAGAACGAGACTGATTTTTGGGGACAACGGCCTTTATTAGTGGAATACCATCACTAATTCCCTATAAAAGAAAGAAGTTTAGTGGCTGATTCTGCTTATTTTTATTAGGCACAAACTACTGAAAATTGTTTCTTTAAACAAGAATGAACCATGTGATAATAGCATTTTATTCTATCAAAACATATCATCACTTCATTTAAAATGTAGGAAAGAGCCTGGCCAGCGTGACTCAGTGGTTGAGCCTCGACCTATGATCCAGGAGATCCCGGTCAGGGCACATGCCTGGGTTGCGGGGATCATCCCAAGTAGGGGCCGTGCAGGAGGCAGCTGATCAATGACTCTCTCATCATCGATATTTCTATCTCTCTCTCTCCCTCTCTCTGAAATCAATAAAGACATTAAAAATATATAGGAAATATATATACTATGTTTGAATGGCATACTTGAAACTTCTGAAACCCATCACCTTCATGTATTCTACTACTCTGCTGTTCAACAGAGATGCAAATTTTAAGGAGCATCAATTATTTAGGATCTTTCCTTTTCACTAGCCATACTGACATGAACATAAAGTAGAAAAATACAAACCATATAAGAGTAAATTGTAACCTAACATTATTGGGTATACACTATGTGCCAAGTGCTATTTTAGGAGCTGTACATAACCTAAATATGAATTATAAGCCATATGAAGTAAAAAGTTACTAGACACAATGAATTTTATCAGCATTACATAATAAATATAATATGTCCACCACATTATGAGTAAATAGGGTGCCCTATGTGTAATAAATAGTTAACATAGCAGGACTGAGACTGCTCTCCTTGGAAAGGCCTGCCTGCAAGATTGGCGCCCTTGCTGGCATCTGGGAACTTGGTGAGCAAAGAGTTCTTTACAATGATTTAAAACCTGTCCTCAATGATGAGGGTGGCTCACTATGCCTGGACTATTTGCACAAAGAATATGGTTCACGTTGAACACCTGCTTTTCTCCTGAGTGTGTGAAATTTTGGTATGGTATACAGAGGGTACCTGTGTGACCAACCTCTAATAAAAACCTTGGGTGCTGAGTTTCTAATGAGCTTCCCTGGTAGACAAAAACATGTTTTTGCATTTTGTTACTGGAAGAATTAAGTATGTTCTGTGTAACGCCACTGGGAGAAGACTCTTGTACTTGGGTTTCCCCAGGCTTTGCCCCACATGCCTTATGCCTTTTGCTGGTGTTGCTTTGTGTCTTCTCACTGAGCTAAATCTTGGCTGTGAATACACCTATATGATGAATCTGTTAGTCCTTCTAGAAAAATCACCAAACCCTGGCGTGGTTCTGGAAACCCAGAACACATCCTAGGAATTAGTCATCATTTCTAAGCATTTTTTTTCTATTTGTTCCAGAAAACTGAGAAACTTTTGGAAAACAACCAGCTTTGTAGAGTTTGTATGGTTAAACATTAAATAAACATCTCAAGAAACATGTATCTAGGAACAAAGTGACAAAAAAATTAATTTGAAGTGTTTTCACAAACATGTGAAAACATATTTATATTAAAGCTGTAATTCATACACTCTCTAAAAAATTTTACAGTAAATTATCAAGAAATTCTATAAAAATTTCCCATGATACTGAACCTAAGAAACATGCTACAATGATCCTTTCTCTAATGCAGAAATTGAGAAATTAGGCCTGTGGGACAAATTCAGCCTACTACCTGTTTTGTAGTTTGTAAGCTAAGAATGGTTTTATATTTTTAAATAGTTACTTATATATATGTACATACACACTTTGATTTTGTTTTAGAGCCACAAAGTCCAAAATGTTTACTATGTGGCCCTTTAAGAAAAAGTTTACCAACCTCTGCTGTACTGCATGTGAGTTATTGCTTTTTCTATGTACATCTCTGAACTACTCTAACTTTTTTGCCAAAAGAATTACTATTACTTGTCCTAACCAAACTCATAGATATAAATGCATTTCATATCCACATTCTGAATTATTCTAAGTAATTCAGTATGTATATTTAAACATCTAAATTAGAAGGTACTCTTTCAATTACAGCATTAACCATCTTGTTTTATCTGACTACTCCTGATATTAGCAATTAACAATCTAACTTATTGGGCCATATTTTATACTTGAGCAGATATTATAATTAAGTGTTACTTTAGACTCCCTCTACCCATCATCTCAATTGTCACAAAGAGCATTTAAATAAAATGATTTATTCTTCCTTGTCAGGAAAATGTGAAATAGAAGAAAGAAAGCCAAAAGAGCCCGCCCGTTCAGACTACCACTCCATAGCAAACAAAAGCTTTCAATAAGATTGTTCCAAAAATCCAAGAACAGATAATTCAGAATCATTTACTATTTTGGATTAAATATTATAACCCACCCCTACACTGAAGAATAAAAGGAACACTGAGGTGTACAGTAATCACAGAGAAAACTCTTTGACATTACCAACTTGGACATTACCTCTATAAAAAATGACTTGAGTTCAGGGAGGTGCTGAAATAGGTTTAGGATTGAAGTCTCAGTTTTGGTCTGCTTCTGCACTGCTTCCTCTGCTGATAATCTAGGAGGGTGTGGTTCCTTTAAAATAATTTTAAGGAAAAATAATTTCATAAATTATATTAAAACATCTCTCACTGTATTCCTTTATACGTACTGGGCCCTAACTATAATGGACTACATACCATGCACTACTGCCAATTCCAGGACAGTGCTCAGACTATTCCCTCAGTAGAGTTCCTACCATCTTCATTTCTAGAGAAACCTTACTTCTAATTTAAAGTTTTTCTTATTGGTATCTTTCTAAATACCTGTCAGAATTAACTATTCTCTTATATTATCCTGAGCACATTACTTTATTTAGTATTTTATTCAGCACTTATTTCTTTCTATGTTGGATTACATATACTTCTTTATGGTCTCTGTCTTCCTATTAGGCAATAAGTAGCTTAAAGTCAGAAAACAAGTCTGATTCATTTACGGTTTTTCAACACCTAGAACAGTATCTTAAATATCTCAAAGTATCTTAGTAGATGCTTAATAAATGTTTGGTAAAATTAAATGCACTATGCAAAAGTCAAAAGTTGTAATATGGGTGAATCTTTAATTCCTGAAATAAAATAAAAATGTCAATACTATCAGAATCAAATTACAGACATTGCTGCATTTCTTTTCAAATAAATTACTGTTTCTTAATGTTAATGTCAGAGACATAGAACAGTATTATCTTTATAAATAAAAAGAAAATGACAAATCAAGTTAAAATTCCAAAGACACAGTTAAAATGCAGAATAGAATTTTATCTAAAAGGGATTCTTCTATCTCCATCACAAAGTATTAGATTATAGGTAATAATTGTGGCAGCTATAAGTACATCAATATTTAACTCTCAATTATTCATGTAAGTATTATTCACTTTAACTAAAAGGCTCATTTTTGTGTCATTTTTTAAGGTGATAAAGACTAATTAGCACTACTCTTGTTTAAAAAAAAAGATAAAATATTAATGGTGCAAAAACATTACAGAATCTATTTCAAAGCCCAATGAAATGTTGTTTTATTGTTACTTTTGCCTTCTGTTTCAATCAGCAGGTAACAAATCAAGCACTGACTTTAAATATGACTATCATGTAAAAATCAATGTTGGAGGTTTTAAACTGTTACTAAGGAATAATAGCAATTATAAAATTCAGTCTGATAACTGAAAAAACAGAAGTACACCTATAACTTAAGAATGTAGACATACCGTTGCTATAATTACTGTGGAGATTTCAATTAAAAGAACATTTACTGCACACATACTATATGCCAGAAAAATATAAAATGATGAAGAGATGATTGCTGCCTTTTACATGTTTATAATATAGTGAGGCAAATAAATATACAACTAAGGCAGAAAGTGTCAAAATTAGGATTATAAATAACAGCCCAAAGAACATGGAAAAGTGATCTGGTTCAACAAGGGGGCTTACAGCTATAAATTCAGAGGAAATATGGCATAGCAGAAAGGATTTGGAGTTTGATGGTCATACATTCAAATCCTGCCCCCGTAACATTCTAGTTGTGTAAACTAGAAAAAGTAGTATTTGATTTCTCTAAGGTGTTGTAGGCTAGGTATTATTTTCTATGAGGCTTGGTTTCATCACCTGAAAAATGAGAATAATTGGGTATTTATTGTGAACGTTGAGTCAATCACCTTGCACTGTGCTTCCATAAAAAAATAAATACAGACAGACTTAACAAGTAGTATATTATTGTGCCCTGGCTAGTATGGTTCAATTGATTAGAGTGTCATCCCATACACTAAAAGGTGGCAGGTTCAATTCCTGGTCAGGGCACATACTCAGGTTGCGGGTTTGGGTTCAATCCCCAGTTGGGGAGCGTACGGGAGACAGCCAATCGATGCTTTTCTCTCACATCAATGTCTCTCTCTCTCTCTCTCTTCCTCTCTCTAAAATCAATTTAATAAAATTTTTTTAAAGTATAGTATCGTGTATTTCTCATTTCTAAATTCATATACTAACAAAGATCAAGACATCTTTGAAATCTAATATTGGATTAACTTCTATGAATCCAAAGCTGCGTGTAATCAAAAAGACAATTTAACTTTAGTTTAAATAATTTTAAACTAAGGTTTTAAATCATTAAAATCCTTGAAAATACTGGTAGCACTATTATTCCTTAGCAATTAAATTCTAGACTTCTGATATACTCAGTAACTTTTATGATTTACCTTTAACAGTTGACAAGGTGTTTGCCCAAAATTATTAATCATTCCTTCTAAGGCTTTTCTTTCCTTCTCATCTGTTAAGGCATCCAGATCCACAGCTCCTAAAACCAGGAGAAGTAGTCAACTCGCTATAGAGTGAAAATAAATCAACAAGCCACACAACTGAATGATATGTCAGAGACTGATTAGTATATTTTCATCAAAATATTATTCCATTCTTTAACTTATAAGAACACTTTATGGGGTAATGTTTTAAAAAAGAGTAAAACACCAAAATTAAATATGTAAAAAATAAATTTTATCCAATGTTTAGAACTAAAATATTTTAAACAAATTTAACAGGTAGTCTAAAAAAGTTTCTCTAAGAAAAATACAAACTATACTTATAGTATACCTAATTGTTTTCCTCATCATAGTCAAGTTGAAACAAGTTTAATAACCACACAAAAATACTGCTATTAATAAATGTTGGGGAAGGTACTATTATGGTTAACTGATTATACCCAGCTATACCCAATATGAATTGTTACATGCTTAGTAAATGGACAAACTAGGTCAGTCTGATTTCAAAGTCTATGCTCCTAACCATCAGGTATACTACCTCCCTACAAATTTTTATAGAAGGAAAACATGTCTGTCTAGTTACAAAAAGGCTCGTGGGCTCTGCTAAAATTCATATAACTTCATACTATTCACATTCTTTAGAACTATTAGCTCTACTGAAAGATTAGAAAAGAACTGCTTCTTATGGCTTTTAAAGTCTTCAAAAATGTTCTCGATCCTGAGCTAATAAACATTAGAATGTCATCTTTATCATTTAAAGAATTGTTATTTGTAATTCTAAAGACTTTCTTCCAAAGTCTGCTAAAAATTTAATACTAAATATTTAATGTAGAACCCGACTGAATAGGACACATATGGCCAGAGATAAAAACTTTATGCTACTAATAACTGACATTTATAATTAGCTTTGCAAATATACTCTTATTTTTCACAAAAATAGATCTCTCATCTCTCAAATAGAAAAGATCACTAAAACTATTTTAATGTAGTTTTTCTCATGTTAAATAGTTATGTCCAAAATACCATGTTATAAACACATATCAAATAATACTTTCTATCACTACAATGCAAGAGAAAAAATACATAGGCTTATACCTTCATAACTACAGTAATAGAAAACATTGAGTGCTTCCACTGCAGCTGGACCCCTCTGTTTATAGCCAAAAATCAAATCTATCCATTCATGAAGATGAGCAGAAACATATTCAGACTCCTAGAAAAAGAATAAATAAGTAATACTTAATACAGAGATACCTTCCAACTACAATGTAAAGATGGGTCCTTTATAAAAGAGGAAATTAAGCATTTCTACACAAAATCTTACCACTGTAAATAAAATTATCTCCAAATTGATATTAAACAATTACTTATCATCTACTACATATATTGACTATATTCTATCTTGTACAATGTAGACACTGTATTTATTAATATTTACTACATATATATCTCCCAACTAATGGTGAAAAAAATAACACATCTTCTAATAGCCTAAATATTAACAAAAAATTAATGATAGCTCTGGAATGCATCTTTGCTGTAAAATTTCTATTGAAATAGTTGTCTAGAAATTCAATTCAAAGAAATAATAAAATCACGATGGGGTAAATGAAAGATTCTGTATATAATTCCCTCCACCCCATCCCACCAAAAGGTGGACTGAGTGGCAGGCAGAGGCTTGAAGGATCTCCTGGAGCCTACAAGATACAGACAGTAAGGAAATTATTACTGAAGACAGGAGAAATGGGGACTCAATGTTTTAGTTACATGAAAAATAGAAAGGGTAAATAATGAATTCATGGATCTGGGGATGGAGATTTCCAGGCAGAATGTTTTTAAGTGCTAACTGGCTTCTCTTAGCTGCCTGTGATAAAGTGTGGGAGGAGTAGGATGAGTTGGAAAAACAACAACACTGTTCAGTTTTAAGCATAATTACAAAAATATATATAAAGGATCCCGGTCTTGCTGGGTTCAAAATAAAATTATTTCTCATTCCCAGGACCACTAGAGAGTAAAGATTCCCAAAGTGACAAATGGCCTAAATCAATGATCAAATCAGTGTCACCAGTAAAATATGGCCTCAGGCAAAAGCTTAGTTCAGGAGTATGGCTATCAAACAAACTGTTAAGAGCTTTTCCCTCATAGAGACACTCAAGATAATATAAAGCATCTTAAAAATCTTAAAGAAAAAGAGAGACAACAATCTAAAAATGGAGTCACTTGTGCAAACCACAACTTAATATCTAATCTCATTGCAATTTCAGCCTATTCCAGGAATATTAGCTTTAAAAAATTCAATCTGGAATTACCTGATCAGCACTAGTGAGAAATTTGCATGACAGACCCTTGCCTTTCCCCCATAGAAAGCTGGCCTGCCTGAAACAATTCATTCTATGTTAGACTTCCTTTTTCTGCCCCCTTCAGCCTATAGAAGTCTTCCATTTTGTACAGCATCTGGGAGTTCCTTTCTATATGGTAGAAGAGATGCTGCCCAAATAATGAATTACTGAATAAAGCCAATTAAATCTTCAAATTTACTGAGCTGAATTTTGTTTTTTTAACTAGAATATTAAGGGCATTTTCCCACAGTAGCCTCCCACTCACCCAAAGGAGATAAGGGACTGTTTTGTAAAGTAATTTGGAAGATTTTCATCTAATAGAGTTGATACATAAGAAACCCATACAATTTTAAAAGAAACTGTACTAGTTCAGCCTGAAAGATAGAAACTGTTCAAAAAAGTAGACAGACCTTTGGCTTCTAAGCTACTATGGTTAAGAAAGAAGCTGACAAAGATACTCATGTAAACAATGTTATTTTTTTAATGGAAAAGAAAGAATGATTGGGTGGGAGTGGTTTCAAGAGCTCAAGAGTAGAACAAAAGAGCCATGGAGAACCACTCTTAGAGAACAGCACTAGATCCTAATAAAGGCACTGAGAGCATGTTCCTGCTAGAATTCTGAATTGTTATAAACCAGTTACTGCTACGTGCCTCTTGTTTTCTCTCCCTTTTCAATAAGAATGTCTATTACAGTTCTGCTCTTGTCACACCACTGTTGTTATGTGGGGGAGGGTAACTTACTTCTTTAATTCAGTCTCCTGATCCAAGAGGAGACAGATCTGAGCAGTTTCATCCACACATTTAGATGAATATGATGATTCTGGACTTTAGGCCTCACGTCTTAATGCAAGGATCAGCAAATTACTGTTTGTGTGCCAAATCTTACTATCTGCCAGATTGGTAGATTGATCCAACACAACCACACCCATTTATTTTGCACTACAATGGTAGAATTTTGAAATAGACCTTACAGCCAATGAAAATATTTATTATATTGTCCTTTCTGGAAAAGGTTTAAAAATCCTTGTCTTACACAGATGACACTCTGGGAGGGTCTTGAGAAGAAACATGTTTAATTTGCATGTTGGGGAAATGTGAATAATTTATGGCCAGAGGGCAGACTTTGTGTGGTAGATTTAAGATGGTTGCAAATTCTTTCTCACTTTCACCATTGGGAGGTGGAATTTACTTTCCCTCCTTTTGTATCTGCTCTGCTTCTGTTACTGTTTAACCATTACAAGGTAGCAAAACTGATGCTGTGACAGCTCACAGCCTTAAGCCATGAGAAAATGTGGCTGCTTCCACTTTTGTACTCAGGGGAGCCCTGAGCTGCCATGTAAGAAGTCTGGCTACCCAGGTAGAGAGACCACATGAAGAGGAGATATCCCGAGACTACATGGAGAGAGAGAAAAGTCCAGTGTCTCCATGAAGCCTACATGACTCTAGCCTTAGCTATCGTATGACTCCAAGTGCATGAGAACTCCAAGCAAAACCAGGAGAATTACCCAATTGAGACCAGTCAACTCAGAGAACCGAGAGATAATAAAATGGCTATAGTTTAAAGCCACTGCCAGGCCGGGCGTGGCTCAGCGGTTGAGCGTCGACCTAGGATCCAGGCGATCAGGGTTCGATTCCCGGTCAGGGCACATGCCTGGGTTGTGGGCTGCAGCCGATCAATGACTCTCTCATCATTGATGTTTCTATCTCTCTCTCTCCCTCTCCTTTCCTCTCTCTGAAATCAATAAAGATATATTAAAAAAAATAAAATAAAATAAAGCCACTACATTTTGGAATAGTTTGCTTCACAGAAATACGTAAGTGAAACACAAACTTCTAACACCTTAATAAGGAGCGTGCTTTCCTGAAATCCTGGACCCCTACTGAGTGTCACAGATAATACAGAGGAAAGTATCTGAGAAGCTGCTATAAGAAACATTGTTTTTCAGAGTTGACTTACTCATACATAGGGTTATTGCTTACAATTATTATAATCTAATACTGAGTATCATAAATTTAACAAGCTATATGCTAATGACAAGGAATGTTTCCAAGTATTGGCCTAATTAGTTTTAGTGTCTGCCAACATTTCAGTTTAAATAGAGAACTAAGTGGGCTATTTGGGTGGGGGGGAAACCACATCACCTGCAAGATAATAATAAAATATCAACATTAACCTAATTCTCACTAGTCCTTTGATTCCAAACTGAAAATATAGCTAAAAACTAGTATTACTACCCAGCAGGGTGTGGCTCAGCGGTTGAACGTCGACCTAGGATCCAGGTGATCGGGGTTTGATTCCCGGTCAGGGCACATGCCCAGGTTGCGGGCTTGATCCCCAGTCGGGGGCATGCAGGAAGCAGCCGATCAATGACTCTCTCATCATTGATGTTTCTATCTCTCTCCCTCCCTCTCCTTCTCCTTTCCTGTCTCTGAAATGAATAAAGATATATTTTTTAAAAAACTAGTAATATTTTTTAAAGTGGCATTTTAGGATCTAGCTATCTTAGTAAAAACTTACAGAAATCCTTTAGAGAAAACAAACACGTACTGATCCTTATATTAGATTTGAAACAAATGTGGGAACTATAAAACACCAAACTACACCCAGCCTGGTGATTAAAATAGTTTCACATACAACTGGCAGATACCTTATAGAACTGGATTTATTTTTGCTATATATCCATGGGACTTTACTATACTTTCACTATATCAGAAGATTCATAATCTTGGAATAAATTACTATATTATACTTCTAAAACATCATATATAATAGATTACAAATTAATCTAGAAAAATAATTAACAGTCAGATATACTTATTTCCATCCTCTGAAAAACACATACATCTTTATCTTACTAATCTCTCTAACAATGAAACATGAAAATCTTACCAGAGCTTTCCTATGTTTACGGATGAAATCTTCAGCTGACTTAGCCCATTTGGGGAGAATGACATCATTTACTCGTTCTTTGGAGGCTTGTAGATGACCCAAGTTAAATTCTAAGACATGTAACAGACAAACATATTGAGTCATTTTAGATTTAAATAAATCAAGTAAAACAAATAGGAGGGCACATTCCTTAGCAAAACTGAAGGCTTTTTTCTTCTTTAATTAAGAGTGAAAGGTGAAAATCAAGTTCTCGATCTAAATTTACTGAACAGGTAAAAATAATTCTCATCTATTGGAATGTATTTATCAATTTAAAAAGTAAATGAAAATAAAAACGTTTTAAATTAGTTATTACAAGGTAAATCAGATTAATAAAAATTAATTTTGAGGGAATTTTTAATTAATAACAATTTTTTTGTTGAGGAAAACTTATAGCTTTGACCAACCAAAACCTTAATCTGAACAAAATGCAAGATTAAGTATTCTTAAATTTAAAAATAATTAACACACTCCCTCTAATGGTTAATTTACAAAATATAACTCCTTATAGATCTTGGTTTAACCCATACCTTAAACTCAAGATTTATACTTGTTTTATGAAAGAAAAATATATTTATATACCACTACTCTAAGTAGATACTGACATCATAAAGATTTGCTCATATAGTTAGAAGCCCAAAATGAGATTATCTTGCTCATACAGTGTGGGAAGGGAAAAGTGTTACTACAAAAGACCTTCATAAAAGAAGCTGCCTTAAAATATCAGTGTATCTCAAAGTAGGAGAGGGGTTTAATGTCATAGGATGACAGGACACATAGGGTCTGCAGTTTTGTTATCCCAACGACTGTAGAGCAGATATTGTTTGTTGGCCACCTGATAGTCATTCCTTGTTTTGTAGAAGAACCTTGATTTTATTAAGTTGCCCATTCCTGCCCTGTAATTCATGCCTGTTGCAGGTGACTGGTGTAGGGGTTGGCATATGACCCAGCTCTGGAGAATGAGGGTAAGTTATAAAAAAGGGTTTCTCACTCTTAAGAAATGACACAATTAACATTCTCACTTCTTTCTAAAACACAATTATATCTGCTTATGATACCTAGAACTGCTTTAATCATTTGTAACCATGACAGGCACTAGCCGAGGACAAAGCCAAAACACTGAGAATAGCAGAGTGAAAAAACAGAAAGAACTTGGCTTGGATGATATTAAGCCACCTGAAACTATCATACCTCAGGGTTTTTTATGAGGGAAAGTATTAAAATTTTCTTGCTCACACAATTATAAGTTGTTTAAATCAGTATCTGTTTTACTAACATAATACTGATATTAATATTCGTTGGCATTCTAACTAATATACTTTGCTTTCTCCCACCTAGCTCATTTCAAACAAAGAGGCAATGAATGCACAGAAATGAAGGCCACCAGGACAGTAATGCAAGACAGCAACTGGCTCTGGTGAATGTCAGAAATTGTCAAGCTAAGAGTACCTTAAAATCTGCATCCAAATTTAATATGTTCATCCCACCTATCCCAGATAACCTGCTTTAGGAGATTCCAGTTCTATGACCGACTAAGAGTTTAGGATCAGACTCAGTCAACAGATTCACTTGACTTTCTGAAAGGGACGAATTCTAACTGCCTACTCTGAGAATCAGATTCCCTGCTAACAGCCTGTCCCAGCATGCATGGCTAAAGGACATGAAGCCCTGAATATGCTCTCCCTGGCCTGACAAATAATTCGACTGAGCAAGCAAAGGTCAAACATTAACATTACATGCTAGGGGAGGAAAAAGAAGTTGGTAATGGTCCTTTGACACTGTGAAATTTCCCTAAAGAACACCAGTAGTAACAATCTTGCCCATTTCCTTATTTGTGCTTAGACTAAATCTAAAACTACCTCATAGAAAAAGTATTTGGATATTTTTAAAGACTGTATTTAGCTCCATGATACTCTCCTTCAAAAACATAATGTGATTTTTCAAAAATTGTGATAACTAATGCTGTCATTATTTTCAGTTTACCTCCTGTCTTCTCCTCTAAATCAGAAGTCAGCAAACTTTTTAAATAAAGGGTCAAATAATAAATATTTCTGGCTTTGTGATCCCTATGGCCTCAAATCTGCTGTTTTACTGTGGAAGCAGCCACAATGTGCATGTAAATGAGTTGGTTGGCCGGCCATGTTCCAACAAAATTTTATTTATAAACACATAAATTTGCCCATGGATTTAGCCTATGGACTGTAGTTTGCTGATCCCTGGTCTAAATCCTCAAATGCTTTTAACCTAAGTTGCAATATGGCTAAAATTGCATATGGTCATTTTTGCTTTTCTAGTAAACACTGTGCTCTGACAAATTCTTTTATCAATTCAAATTTTACTCATTTACCTTACTTCATTGTAGCACTTCCCTGGAAAGTAAGACAAGTGCCTGAGCATCAGTAAGCCTGTTACTGAATAATACACAGGCAGAAGGAATCTTAAATACTCTATAGGACATCACGAAAACGTTCTGAAAGATATTTTTAAGGGTCCTCCACTGGGACCTGTTTAGTAAAATTTTTAATCTCCTATTTCTTACGATTTTGATTTTCCAAAAACTCTGGAAAATAGAAGAATTCAGGAATAAGTTCCTTCACATCATTGGGATTGTCCATGAGAGCCTGCCAGGTAGCAGGGATCGAATGGAATTGTCGATCTGCACAATCAAACCTGCATGTGGAGATTGAAAGAGAAAGGTGAATACTGAATGAGAGCAACAACAGGCATGAAACAAACCTTTAAACTCCCTTTAAGCTTCCTAATGATTAGTTTCTCTTTTCTTAATATTTCTCCTTAATGCCTAAAAACACAATTTGCTCTCCTTCGTATGACTATCTTTCATACTCTGTTGTCAGGAACTAAATACTATCATTTTAATCACTAGTATCATCTTAGTTAAAATAGTTGAAAACCAAATCACACTGGAGAAAATTTTTAATTAAATATAAACCTAAGACACCTTAAAAAACAGCACAATTTTTTTTTCCAATTACAGTTTACATTCACTACTATTTTGTACCAGTTTCAGGTGTACAGCTTAGTGGTCAGACAATCATACCTTACAAAATGCTCCTCCTGTGATCCCAGCACCCACCAGGCACCATACATAGTCACCACAACATCACAGACTATATTTGCTGTATTTTACATCCCCATGTCTATTATGTAACTACCCATTTGTACTTCTTAATCCCTTTGAAAAATGGCACAATTTCTGCTGAGTAAAATTTATTATAGAAAGTGAATGTTATTTGGATAATTTTAAATCACAGAGTTTAAATATCAAAGTATTATAGTGTTAATATAAGTGGTTAACAAATCTATAAGAATGCTGCTGACTTAACCCTTGATACATAAATATACTTACAAACTCTTTTACTAAAAACCAGAGGGTGATTTAGGGAAACAGTCCTTGCATATACTATTACCTTATTTTAAAGTTGAAAGAAGCTCAAGTGGTCATGCTGCAATTTTATTATGCTTTCTCTAATCACAAAAAGTGTAAACTCCTTTTGTTTCATCAACAATATTATTTTCCTGGAGTAATTAAGTAATGACTTACTAAGTGACACTGATAACTAAATTGACTCTTTTTATGCCTAGGAATCTTGGTTTGAGGCTAAGCTAAACTTAGGAGAACTCTGAATTTAATTACCGTCAATGACTGGGTCATTAATACAGTCTAGTGATGATGTATCCAAACTCAAGGAGAGGTACAGCTTTAAAAGTAGAATCTTTTTGTTTGTTGGGAGAGAACAGCTTTATTGAGATGTAATTAACATAGATATAATTCATGTTCATTATAAGTAGAAAATTCAATGATTTATGGTTTTTAGTATATTCAGAGCTGTGCATCACCACCACAATCAATTTTAGAACATTTTCATCACTCCAAAAAGAAAGCCTGTATCTATTAGCAGTCATTCTTCATTCACCCTACCTCTACCCACTAATCTACTTTCTGTCTCTATGAATTTCCTACTTTAGACATCTCATATAAATCATACAAGACATGGCCTTTATGCCTGGCCTATTTAGCATACTGTTTTCATGGTTCATCCATGTCATAGCATGCATCAAGCTTTCATTCCTTTTATTCACTAATGGCCAAATAATATTCCATTTATGGCTATACCACATTTTATTTATTCCTTTATCGGTGACAGACATTTGGGTGTCTCCATTTTTTGCCACTGTAAATAATGTTGATATGTACATTTGTGTACAAGTTTTTGCATGAACATATGTTTTCAATTACCTTGGGTATATGCTTAGGAGTGGAATTGCTGTCATGTGGCAATTCTATGTTTAACCCTTTGAAGAACTGTCCAACTGTTTTCCACTGGGACTGCATCATTTTACATTCCCATCAGTAGTACATAAGGGTTCCAATTTCTCAGCATGCTCACTGACACTAGGCATCATCTGTCTTGATTATAGCCATCCTTGTGGCATCTCAATTTGGTTTTGATTTCAATTTCCCTGGTAACTGATGATATTGTGCATCTTTTCATATGTTTACTGGACAGTTGCATATCTTCTTTGGGAAAATGTCCATTCCGATCCTTTGTGTCCAGTAGTAAATTGAGTCATTTGTCTTTTTATTATTATGTTGTAAGGGTTCTCTATATATTCTAGTTACAAGTCCCTTATCAAATATACAATTTATGAAATTTTTCTCCCACTGAATGGGCTGTCTTTTCACTTTCTTAATAATGTTCTTTGAAGCACAAACAGAATCTATTTTTGAAGCTTTGTAAAAAATTATTCATGAAATTAAAAGCGGAAAAAAAAGGTTATATTTTACTGGTGGGAAAATTACTTGCTATCATGGTAAATGTAACATTTGGAGATGTGTAGTGATCTTGAGGACAGAGTCGCTCTTCTTGAAAGCCAAGGTTTAATGTAGTAAAATAGCGACTAAGAGACCCGCGCTAATTTTGAGAAATAAAAGCTACATGTAAAGACAGTACAATAGGCAATGTTTACATAGCTCTTAATTGGGTAGGAAAGGCAAACGGCAATGTTAAAGAATAAGGCAACATGGAGCCAAAGTGTAGATCAGCAGAGAACTACCTGGAGGACACACTGAGGAACTGAAGATTCATGAAGAAGCTTGTTCCTTTAGGATCATTAGGAAAATGTGTATCATAGATAAGTTTCAAAAATGATAGGTAATATGATATAGTGGCATCACAGACCTGTCTGAGCTGCTCCTAAGAGCCCCTCAGTCCTCCTCCTTTTTATTCTTCTTGATTAATAAATATTTTTAGGAGAACTACACAGGCATTGGTTAGGTCTGAATCTCTGGTAGATGTCTTGGATCTAGCTCTAAATCAGTTCTAACTCTAAATCTATGGTGGGTTGTTGCTAAAACCAGTTAAGAATCACAAAGGTACACTGGGTGACAGAAAAAAAAAAAAAAAAAAGCAATTCTCCCTAAAAGTCATTCGTGGCCTGGCCAGCATCGTTCAGCAGTTGAGCATCAACCTATGACCTAGGAGATGAAGGTTCAATTCTAGGTCAGGCCCACGCCAGGGTTTCCGGCTCAATCCCAGTAGGGGGCATGCAGGAGGCAGCCAATCAATGACTCTCTCATCACTGATGTTTCTATCTCTCTCTCTCTCCTTCTCCCTTCCTCTCTCTGAAATCAACAAAGACATATTTTTTTAAAAAAGTCATTTGTGGCCCGGCCAAGAGTGGCTCAGCGATTGAGCGTTGGCCTAGGATCCAGGAGATCAAGGTTCAATTCCTGGTCAGGGCACATGCCTGGGTTGCAGGCTTGATCCCTGGTGAGGGGCATGCAGGAGGCCGCCCATCAATGACTCTCTCATCATTGATGTCTCTACCTCTCTCTCCCTCTCCCTTCCTCTCTCTGAAATCAATAAAGACATTTTTTTTAAAAGTCATTTGTGTAAATCAATTTGAGTGACTCATTCTCAAACTAGTTTGGCTATGAGGCTACACAAATCAAAACCTAATAGAGGAGAATGAAAAAGATGTGGCCCTGTTATACAGTACATGACATGAAGGCAAAGAGTTTTTAACAACAATACACAGTCTTAAGAAAATAGTACATTTACACAAAACATACCTTCCACTTTGAAGCTGGATGTGGAGGGTAGTGAATGGTTCTGTCCGAATAAGATAGTGCATAACCCCGGCAGAATTTGAATAGTGAGTACCATAATGAAATTTATCAATAGTTCCCAAAGGATCCTCAAAATTTTCATATCTGAAAAAAGAAACTAAAGTTTTGTAACCATAACAGTAAAATTAAATTAGGAGGACATACAATACTTGTATTGCATTGTTGAAAACAGTTTTTAAGAAGTCCTTATTGCCCGGCCGAGTGTGGCTCAGCGGTTGAGCATCGACCTGGGATCCAGGCGATCAGGGTTCGATTCCCGGTCAGGGCACATGCCCGGCTTGTGGACTCGATCAATGACTCTCATCATTGATGTTTCTATCTCTCTCTCTCCCTCTCCTTTCCTCTCTCTGAAATCAATAGATATATATATTTTTAAAAAGTCCTTATTAATATGTTTCAGAATGTATGCATGTAACCATATGATCATACCATGTTAATAAATGAAAAATTTTTTTTATTCAGTAATACTTTTTCCTGAACAATGAAATATCACTAATAATGGATTCTGGAACAATTCTATATATTATGCAATAATACATGTTCACTGTAGATAAATTAGAAAACAAAGAGAACAAACAAAAAAACCCAACCCTTAAAATCAACTATTAACATTTTTGTGAATATCAGTAAATTCTTAATGTATAAATTAACACACAACTATTTTAACAAAAAAGTGCTATATGTAATACATTGTTACAACCTACTATCACTTAACAGTTTTAACATCTTTCCAAATGATTAGTCTATTTTTAATAGGTGTGTGGTATTTATAACAGGTACATATATGAATATATGACAATTTATAACTATTTATTACTTTTAGATATTTAGACATTCTATTGTGGCTAAGGTAATAGAAGAAATAAACAGAGAATCAGTCAAGAATTGTGGAAATGCATGCCTAAAAATCTAAAAGAAAAAGATGAAGGATAGTGGATAGGAGGAAGGCCTCAACCACATCATTATAGAAGGACATGTAGTGATTCTGCAAGCACTATCGCTCATACTTATAGGTGTAATTGTTTTGAATGGTTTGAATGGTGACATCTGAATTACTGGATATAAAATTTGAATACGAATGAACAGTTTTTTTGAAGAAATAACCACTGAAATTTTTAAACCCAAATACTAATCAGCTCCTCAAGCTGAAGCCAGTTTTTAAAAAGTGAAATCACTAATATTCAGGGGAATAAAAAAAAGTTTTCAGGTCAAAGTCATTTTTATCTACGCAAAAAAATATACTATTGAAATTTGAAATAACATGTATGTTTGATTATCAATAAGTTTTTTATATGATAAGTATTTCCTGTGGCAGTGTTAAAAATAAACGTTTTATTACTGTCAGAAAAAAATGTTTGACTAATGGCAGTGAGGTAATACATATACAGTCAAATTCCACTAGTAAATCAAATAAAATATTATACAAAAGGTCCTGAGGTAGATTTGCAAAAGAAAAAAAGAAAGGATAATGTACCACCTACTCCCAAATAAATCTACAACTAAGTTTGTTGGCAAAACAGTTATTTGTCATTATTAAAAGTCATAACTGACTAGTTATCCACAAGTTCACATGGAGAAAAAGGAAAGTGAAAATTATTCTTTTATTTGTCTGCAGGTGGCCTTGAAAAAAAAATTGTGATACATTTACAGGGTAGATCATAAATTTACAAATCTATAAAACCCTTCCTAATTAAAATGACACTTTTAAAATATCCACACACTTTATTGTTCTTCATTCACATTAGTTGTGAATAATAGGTTAGTATTATTAATTTTATACATACTAAAATATTACCTAGATGGATATTTTTACATATTAGATTAGAAGGTTAAGTCTACTATACCTGGGAAGAAAAATTTCAAGAATTTTTACCCTTTAGAACATAGTTATTACAAGGTGAAAAGAAATTCTAGGCAGTATGTATTTAAATCTGGCAAAGAAGAGAAATAGCCTAAAGTTAAGATACTTAAAGGACAACCAATACATTTTCAAGAAAACTTAGTGAAGGAATTATCAGACTGATTATCAAAAGTAGTTGTGCACTTATTTATTTTAATCTTCACCCGAGGACAGATTCTCCATCAATTTCTAGAGAGAGTGGAAGGGAGAGGGAGAGAAACATCAATGTGAGAGAGATACATCGATTGGTTGCCTCTCGCACACGCCCATATCAGGGTGAGGAACCTGCAACAGAAGTATAAGCCCTTGACAGAGAATAGAACCCTCGACCTTTCAGTCCATGAGCTGACACTCTAACCACTGAGCAAAACCGGTCACGGTGGTTGTGCATTTAAATAGAGTAACAGCCTGGCCGGGCGTGGCTCAGCGGTTGAGCGTCGACCTAGGATCCAGGCGATCGGGGTTCGATTCCCGGTCAGGGCACATGCCCGGGTTGCAGGTTCGATCAATGGCTCTCTCATCATTGATGTTTCTATCTCTCTCTCTCCCTCTCCTTTCCTCTCTCTGAAATCAATAAAGATATATTTTTAAAAAAATAAAATAGAGTAACAGTTGCCCTGACCAGTGTGGCTCAGTGATTAGGGCATAGGCCTGCACAGCGAAGGGTTGCAGGTTCAATTCCTGAGCAAGGGCAGGTACCTGGGTTGCAGGTTTGATTCTGGCCCACTGGGGTTCAAGAGGAAGGCAACCAATTGAAGTATCTCTCTTTTTTTTAAAATATATCTTTACTGATTTCAGAGAGAGGAAAGGAGAGGGAGAGAGAGAGATAGAAGCATCAATGATGAGTCATTGATCAGCTGCCTCCTGCACACCCCCGACTGGGGATCAAGCCCGCCACCCGGGCATGTGCCCTGACCGGGAATCGAACCCCTATCGCCTGGATCCCAGGTCGACGATCAACGCTGAGCCACACCCGGCCGGGCTGAAGTATCTCTTTCACATCCATGTTTCTCTCTCTCTCACTGCCCTCTCTCCCTCCCTCTCCCCTCGATTCCCCCCTCCCTCCACTCTCTCTAAAAATCAATGGAAAAAATTATCCTTGGGTAAGGATTAACAAAATAAATTAATAAATAAAAATAGAGTAACACTTCATTAGCCAAAGAAATAAACACAAATTCAAACAAGTGATAGGTATATTTCAAAATGATAAAAGGCACTTACTTTTCTCTCGTGGCTTTGGCATTTTTATCATTAACTACCCCAATTGGTTTAGAAAGATCTCGAAATACAGATGGGTTATTGAAGTCCAACTCTTCTGAAGTATAATCTTGTAAAATCCAGGGGAACTAAGAGACACAATTTACAATTTAGACATCCCTTCCTAGAGAAGCTACTATCCTCATATCTAACATCAAATGCTTATCTAAAGACAAAAAAGAATAGTCTAAAATTACTTTCCCTGTTGCAAATGTTTATTCATCTTTATTCCAATAACCAGAAGCATTATTTCCTATGATTCCACTGGAATGTTTTCAATAAAGCAAAAGAAAAAATGACACTTATTTTTTCATTATTTTTCATGTTTATATTTCTTGAAAATAGGAGGGTATAAAATATACAGAATGGCAAAAACACATTTATATCTTTTTAAAAATAAAACATAACTATCATGCACATATACTTTTGTGTATTACAAAACTGAAAGGCTATTCCATATTTATATAAAACTTACCACAGGATACTGCGCAAGGTCATTATAGGTTCTTCCCGCCATTGTATTTATTTGAATGAGGTAGTCAAAATTTGATATCTCTCTATTTACCCATTTCTAGACAGCACAAAAAAAGAAAACCAAAATTAATCTATGCCTCCGAGAAATCAGTAACTATTACTGACTACTAACAATCTTTTTTATCATCTCTATTATCTTTCTGATAAAAGGAATGGGCTTCAAAAAAGGTCTAACAGGGACATAAAATTAATATACTTTTCCTAAATTCACTTCCTTTTGAAAATTGGTCTCTAGAAAAGGAACAGAAACTTCCACATAAATTTTACACTGCAGACTAAAAGATCTTCATAACAATTACTTACTTCAATTAAATATTTTATTAAATATCTCAAAAATTTTAAATCTAGGACTGTCCAACATTGACAATTTTGTTATAAATGAAATTTTCGTAAGTGTACATATTTAAAAAAGAGTATCCTAATATACTAGAATGATCTACAAATTACTTAACTTCAGAACACTGTCTTCATAGAGCAATGGTAGAAGGATTCTACACTGGATACAAAATTTTCTAAAGAAAGACAATCATTTTTTTCTTTTAATCACCTTATTGCACCTAGCCTACTAATTACTCTACACAGTCTGGGTATGGTGGAGAATTTTGCAGACAGATTAACATTCAAGGGATGTGCTTATCGGAAATGGTGAGAAGTTAATCTACGTATAGATTTTATTGAAAGTCCAATTATAATTGTTCCTAAATGCCAAAATGAGGAATCAATACTTCAATGAATAAAGTTTATTCCACAGAAAACAGGGAATGTATTTTATTAAATAAAGCTTATTCCATAAGCAATAGGAAAGAGCTGCTGATGACTTTCTGAACAGAACAATACTTAAGATTATGATTCAAGTACAGCACAGAAAATATAGTCAATAATATTGTAATAATTATGTATGGTACCAGGTAAGTACTAGAATTATTGGGGGGATCACTTCATAAATTACTGAATTGTTTAACCACTATGTTGTACACCTGAAATCAATATAAAATAATATTGAATGTCAACTGTAATTAAAAAATAAAATTAAAAAAAAGATTAATGCATATATAGGAGGAAGGACAGAGCCAGGGTCACAGACTCTAATTAGGAAACTACTAACAGTTCTGGAAAGCAAAAAACAATGCCCTTTCCTTGGATTTTGACAGTACAAATTAAAGAGATGCTGGGATATAGGTGAGGGTAAAATACACAGAAACATTAGTTAGGTTTGGCTGTCAGAAGGAATGGTGCATTTTTTTAACCTTTTTCCCATGATATCTTTTGTATTTTCCCATTTTTTACCTCATGCATGGATTATTTTTACTATTAAGAAAAAACCCACATTATTTTTTAAAAAGAGAAAATTAGTAAAAAAGAATTCATAAGATACGTCTATAAATTGAGTGATATGAGAGCTGGAGAACAGGGCACTATATGTGTGAGGGAAACAAAGCATCAAAGATAATTCAAAAGATCAATCTGAATGGAATAACAGCAGCTGTAATAATCAAAATACAATAATCAGAAGCAGCAAGTTTTACTTTTAAGCAAAACTACGAGATATAAAATGAACACCATTTCCTACCTGTGTCAATCCTGATGCTTTGAATAACTCCTGTGGTGATCTGGTTCCGTAACTATTTGGAGAATGAAATGACAATAGTCTGCTATATACTTTGTTCCTAACCTATAAAAAAACAGCATTTTATAGTTGGAAAATTGATCAAGACAAAGCAGGATTATGGCTTTTGTAACAGCTGTTGTTGAGACAATTCCCGTACCATAAAATTCACCATTTATGTATACAATTCAGTGGGCTTTTTTGTATATTCTGACTTGTGCAACCATCATCATTATCTAACTTTGAAACATTTTAATCATCCCCAAAAGAAATTTACTCACTAGCTATTGCTCCCCAATTCCCACTCTCTTCCATCTCCTAACAACCACTAATCTACTTTCCCTCTCTATGGATTTGCCTCAACTGGACATTTCACATAAATAGAGGCTTACGGTTTTAACCTCTCTATTATACTAGGCTTGGTGAAGTAAAGACAAGTATTTTTTGAGGAAGTTATAGTGTATAATGGAATGATCATCAGACATTGAATCAGAAACCAAATTCAAGTTTGTTGCAAATTTAGTTCTGTCATTTACTAATCACCTTGGCAAATCAATTAATTTACTGAGTCTAATTTGCACATTAAACACAATAATCTCTACTCTTAATAGTTTTGTAAATTATTCAGGGCTATACATATGTAATAAAATTCATCTTTGAACTTCAGTTTCCTCAGCTATAAAAAAGGAATAATGAAATTTCCCATATCTAATCTGAAGGTTGCTATGAAGATCAGATTTTATATAAAATATGCTTTAAAAACTATGAAGTTATACAAATGTACAGAATTCAACAGGAACACATTTGGTTTAATTACATGACATAGCTTTCTAATAAACACATGCTTTACATTTTCCTATAAGGGAAAATTGTTTCTTAATAGTAAAACAGTATTCTTTTGTAAAAACAGAAAAATTCTCTTTGAACATCTAAATCAAATCATCTATAGGTAAACCTCGAACCCAAAAGTGAACAGAAATGTAGTTTTTGTGCTAATCCAGGTCATCTGAGAAGCAGATGCCAAGACAGACTTGAACATGAAACAATTTTGAGAGATGCCTCTGAGAGAAAATGGAGAGTGTGCTAAGCAGGGTGAGAACAAATGTCAGAATGTGATGCAAGTCTGACTCCAAGTGAATGGCAGAGGGAAGGAAAAATGGGGCAAGTAATGCTTCAAAGGTGACGGTTACACAGCTAGTAGTGGAGCAGATTCTTGGACCCAGGGAATCTGGCTTCAGTGGTAATCTATTAACCACTTATACTGTTTAAGAAGTTACTCTACTCTACATGAAATACATGTCTCATTATTGTTAAACTGAACCCAACTAACCCCAAATCAAATCATATTATATATATATTGCATATTATTTCACAATTGGATACTGTGAGGTACCTATTGGCTAACACTCAATATTCTACTACCTACCCATATATAAAAACTGGAAACAAGCACTCTCTACACAGTCAAACATAAATCCCAACAAAAATTCATATACTGCTTAGCCTCCAAAGTACAGGATGGGGCAAAAGTAGGTTTACAGTTGTGAGTACATGAAACGGTGTTTATTCTTGTGTTTTTATTAATTATTGTATTACTTTTTCATATGAACTGTAAACCTACTTTTGTCCAACCCTGTATATACTTTTTCATCTAATATTCTGACTTGATGAAAGAATAGAGTCCAAAGTTTCAATATAGCTCACTAACTGGAAAATTATTTCAAGCTAATACTTTGGAGCTTCCAGAAAGGTAGCATCTTACATACCTCTTTTTTGAAATTGAGAAAGTAGTTGGATTGGTCAACATGAAAAATCTCAAGGGCTGACCTCCTCAAGTTGTAACGTCGCAGGTGAATCTCTCGAACTTGAGAATGAGGCCACTTGAAATCAAAGCCTACTCCTTAAAAACAGAAGAAATATTGTGACTAAGGTACCATATAAAGTTATTCGTGCTATGCACAAAATATCTCCTACTTCCTGACAAAAGTAGCACTTAGGGAAAGGGAATTCAATTTCTATGTCAAAAAACCACTTGTTAAATTTATTGGACATTTATATTGCTTCTCTTAAAACTATTTTAAAGCTCTATAGTTGTTCTACTTCCTTCCCATTAGAATAGAGAATAATTCTGAATATTTTATCTTAGAAACATTTTTCTCTCTTTATGTTGACATTTTAGACTTAAATATCCTTTTATTTTCAGATAAAGGATTAGGTGAGAAGCCTACAGGAATAAGTGGACATACAAATAAAATTAAGATTGTATTTTATAACTCAAGTTTATAGCAATCCCCTCAACCAAACCTTTGATAACATTGATAAAACAAAAGCATTCCCCCCCTTCAATACACTGTTGAATATATATTTAAGCCCATACTGACTCTCCATTTCTCCTTTTACATGACAGATTATAATTCCACAGTCCCATTTAACTTCTCTTTTCTCATTAATGATTGATAAACTGGATACTTAACTATTGAACAACAGAAATTATTCCCCCAGAACTCCTCACCATCTTCTTTTTCAGTGCTGCCATCATAGAAGTAAATGTGTTGAGTAGTGATTTCTAATCTGCCAGGAATTATGTCAATTATTGTAATGAGTTCACAGTCTACTGAGAACACCAACTTTTCTTTTTGATCCTGTTCTTTATTCTCATCACTGTAAAAACAAAAACCAACCAACCAAATAACAAACATCTAACAATGTATTTTGTGTAAATAAAAAAGAATATCATATTCAAATTTAAATCTTATGTCTATAAAGTTAAAAACCAATAGAGTATTTGAATTATCTACAAAAAATATTCCACTGCATATTAAATTACTTAAATATTGTCCAAATATTCTTATTACCCAATAACTTAGTTTCAAAAATATGTTTTACATTTTAATTGTATATGACCCATTAAAACAAAGTACAGTGAATCTTTAATACTACTGGCAGAGGTCAGTTCACACATGCAGCAATACTGGTCATATAATTTTACTTATATTAAAGAAATAGGAATTGACACAGGGAATATATCTATGAATAAAGAACTGCATCATTAGTTGTTTCATCAATTATTAGAAGTACTAATTATAACTCAATCTTAAACTGGAAAATTAAGACTTTTCAAGAGCAAATCAAACTAGAGTATCATCATTATACTATGCCCTTACAAGAAAAGATATAATACTATGCACTGCTAGTCCAATACCTTACTTAAAGTGAAGTCATCTTGATTTGGATGACTGATATAATTTATATTTACTGAAGGGTATAACTAGGAAGTGACAGTCTTCTGGTGGCTCAGGTGACTTTCAACTGCCAAGTACAGAAATGGGGACTCCTACCACTCACAGAATATTATTCAAGTAAATCCTTCAAGCTAGCTGCTCTGTGGTCCAGATATTTCACATCTGTCTCATTTCCAGGACAGCAATGACTAAGTCTTTGTTTCCAATGGATTTCCATGAGGAATCTTTATCTACCTGAAATATTGCAAGCCTTAACTTAAAGCTAAGCTTTAAAAAAAAAAATTAAAAATTGAGAATGTTTTCTTAAATAATGAAATTCCAGTACTTACTATGATAAAACTGGGAATAAGAGACCTACGGTGTAAATAGTCTAAATGTTATTACACTTAAAAATAGTTAAAATAGTGAATTTTATGTTAAATGAATTTCAATTTTCTAAAACTATATCTCATTTTATTTAAAGTAGCCAAAAATGAAGGCAAAATAAAGACCTTCACAGATAACAGAGAGATTTTGTGGCTATCAGAGCTTCCTTACAATAAATACTAAAAGAAATCCTTCAGGCTGAAAGGGAATGACACCAGATGATAACCTGAATGTACACAAAGAAATAAAGTGTATAAGTATGATAATTATGTAGACAAATATAAAATAAAGTATAATTATTTAGTTTTTTCTTCCCGTACGTGATTTAAAGACAAGTACACAAAACAGTAACTATAAAGCTGTATTGGTGGGCTTAAAATATATAAAGGTCTAATATTTATGATAACATAAAGGAGACATGAGAAAATGAAAATATATTTACTTAGTGGAAGTTTTTAAATTACAAATTCAAAATTTAGAAATATATCTAAGGCTATTCAGATTATATATTACTTCCTGAGGGAGATTTGGTAATTTGTATCTTTTAAGAATTTATCCATTCCATATAAGGTCACAAATTTATTGGCATAAAGCTGTCATTAGCATTTTTTTTAAATCATTTTAATATTTGTAGCAGTATCTCCTCTTTCATTCCTGATACTGGTAATTTATGTTGTTTTTCTTTCTTTCCTAACCAGTATTGCTAGATGTTGTTTTGTTATCTGTTTTTTAATAACCAGCTTTAGTTTTCTTTTATCTTTCTTTTTGTTTTTTGTTTTTATTTTCCATGAATTTCTTCCACTTGCAAAAGAATTAAATTTCATGTTGTATCTTCCGTCTAAACACAGCTTTAGCCATATACTATAAATCTGATGCTACATTTTTATTATCATTCAACTCAAATACTTTCTAATTTCAAGATCCAGCTTCAAGTTATCCCAGTTCTAAGAAGCCTTCCTCAATAATCTCAGTTAACAATGATACACTCCTAACAGCTGATCCGCATTAACTGTTGGTCCCTGGAAAGGTATAGTATTAAAATTTCAAGCAAGTTATCTTCCACAATTTTACAATCCTATTTCTCAGAACAAAATAATTTTAAATTATTTCAAGTACATATACATACATATTTACTCTGGCTGTTATTTCCTCTTCAGAAAGATCTAACTTATCTTCCTCCATATCACTAACTTTTACTTGTTTCACTACTTCCAAAAGCAAAGAATCACTGGAAGGCTGTGAGTGTTGGACACCTGTTTAAAAACAAAATATCTATTAAAAACAAAGTTAAAAAATCATAGTATAGCTCTTCTGTTATTTCTGACTGTTAATTACATGATAAGAATGTGCATTACAAGTAAAGAAGGTACTTAGCTCTCTTGATTAATTCTATGGCATCAACTCTATTGACCATTAAGGCAATTTTTAAAACATTTAAAAACTGGTACTAATTTCATCTGTAACTTAGTCACTAAACACAGTAGAACATATTGGACACAATGGAACACAGGTGGCTATGGTAAAGTAACTACAATTTAGTATACACACGACTGGCCAGTGACTCTTAATATTTGGGGCTATTTCACAGACCTCTCTTCCAAAAGGGAGAAATGCCAAGTTAGATGGTTAGAAAAGAATGGTTTCCTAAAGAATTGTAGAAACTCTTTAAAATCTGTTTCAAATTACTGCTGGGCTATGTATTTTTAAGCACTTTTTCCTAGAAAAAGACATTGGCCCATCTAAGATACTAAGTATCTAGAGTTCCGTAACAACATGTTATAAAAGAAAGGCCTAAAATTGCTAAGAATTCTAGATATATTTAACATCAGCCTCAGGGTTGGTAAGCAAAACTAAGGGGAAAGGACGATTATTTCAATGTACCGTAATGGATATTAGAGACAACACATTTCTTATCAATTACAGTATAATTTTATGGTTTTAAATTATGTTACTGCTTGAAAAATTACAACCAGTTTAAATAGGAAGTCATATTTAGGCCAAAGGTAACAGAATTTAACATATATAACCATTTAAATATCAATTCTAAAACATCATCCTTCTTTCATGAGTAAATAATTTTGAAACAATAAAAACCAACCCCACCAACAACCTTACTATCTTCAACAAATAAATAAATAGCCATCGGAACTCACCTAGATTATCTCTCAAAGCACTAGCTTCATCATGGGTCTTGAAGTTATAATTTGGCACCAGTTTAAGTCTCATACGTGAATAATTTTCTACATTAGCTAGTTTCCAGTGAATTGGATTTTGTTTCCTATGGACATTCATAAGTAAACACATAAAATTATTTACCTTAAAGTTACAAAGATTGAAACAGAATTAGAAAGTATCAGGTACTTTATATGTGTTTAACATCATTTTATAAAAACATTCACATTCATTAACTCAGTTGAACCAAAAACATTAGTGAAAGAAAACCAATGTGAGTATGCATAGCTAGTTTATACATGAGGTATCTAAGACCACATAATTTTTTGGTGTGTAAAATGCCATGTGGTTTACAGGTACCAGAAGTAAGATCTGAACATAAATCTTCAGTTTAATATCTTTTAATTCTTTCACTGTTGTATGGAAGTTTTTAAGTAACTATACAAGTTTATTCCAAATACAGTTTTCAAAATAAAATAATTTTATTACAAATAAAGATAATGTAATTGCAAATGGATCAAAGATCTAAATATAAGAGTTAGAACGCTTAGAAAAAAAGATGGGGTAAATCTTCATGATCTTAGAGTTGAGAATGGTTTCTTAAATATATTATCAAAAACACAAGCAACAAAATAAACAAACTGGACTTCAAAATTCAAAACTTTTGTGCACTAATGGCCACTATCAAGAAAGTGAAAAGACAGCCTACATATTTGCAAATAATATATCTAATAAAGACCTATTATTGAGAATACAAAAAACTCTTACAACTCAAGCACGAAAAGTCAAACAATCCAATTTAAAAAATAGGCAAAGGATTGGAATAGAGATATCTCCAAAGAAGACATATAAAACTGGCCAACAAGTAAATAAAAAGATCCTCGATTTTCATTAGTCATTAGGTAAATTTAGCATCATAAGGTATCACTTCACATCTACTAGGATAGTCGTAATTTAAAAATTGGAAAATAACAAATACTGGTAAGATTGTGGAGAAATGAAATCCTCAAGTATTGCTAATGGAAACGCAAAATGGTGCAGCTGCTGCGAAAAACAGTCTGGCCACTCTTCAGCAAGTTAATCATAGAATTATCACATGACCAGCAAATCTGTTCATAGGTATATACTCAAGAGAATTGAAAACAGGTACTGAAACAAACATCTGTTCACAAATGTTCATAGCAATGTTACAATGTTATTCACAATAGCCACAAGGAAAACAACCCAAATGTCCATTACCTGATGAATGAATACACAAAATATGGTGTAAAACCATACAATGGAAAATTAGTTGGCCATAAAAAGGAAAGAAGTACTGATACATACTACAATATAATGAAAACATGCTAAGTGAAAGAAGCCAGATACAAAATGCCATATATTATATGATTCCACTTTTAAGAAATATTCAGAATAAGCAAACCCAGAGTCAGAAAGCAGACTGATGGTTGTCAGGGACTGGGGGAAGGGATAATTGGCAGTGACCACTTAATGGGTCCAGGATTTCTTTTTGATGTGATGAAAATATTCTGAAGCTGGACAGTGGTGACGATTATACAACATGTACTTAATGCTACTAAATTGTACATTTTTAATAGTTAAAATTTTATGTTTTACCAAAATTAAGAATGACTATAAAAATATATTACATCACATAATATTATATTATGGGATATTACTTAGGATCAAGTAAAATAATTGTAAAATATTCAAGCACAAAGGATCACTAACCCTAGCTCAAAGAGGTAGTGTCAGGAAGACAGAAGTAATCTGATTCAAAACAAACTCTTTATCATAGGGTAAAATGAAAGGAAATAAATCCATGGTGGAAAATATATAAAGCTCAAAAATATCAGACCTATAATTCAGAAAAGACAAATTAATTAAAAGCAACCTTTTATAAAAAAAACTTTGTGTTTTGAGGAGGGATAAAGAGATAAGAACAACAGGCTTTACTCTTAAGGAGCAGAGTTTGGGAGATACATATACAAACTACACCACAATTCAGAAAGCAAAGAATTCTAATGGTACCAATAAAAACCAATTCATGCCCTAGCAGGTTTGGCTCCATGGTTAGAGCATCAGCCTGCAAACTGAAGGGTAATAGGTTTGATTCTGGTCAAGGGCAACCACCTCGGTAGCAGGCTTGATACCTGGCCTCAGTCAGGGTGGGAGGCAACAAGTGGGATGTCTATATCTCCCCCTCCCTTCCACTCTCTCTAAAAAATTCAATGGAAAGAATATCCCTGGGTGAGGATTAGAAAAAAAACACAACAATTCAAGTATATATCTTAATTATAATTATTTTTATCAATACCCCCAATTTGTATGTGAGAGAACTGAGGTTGAAAATGCCTACTTTCCTAAGGTCATGTAGCTTATAAATGTCAGAGTTGAGACTTGAACCCCAGGACTTGAACTTCAGTAGCTCATTTGCTCTAACACTAGGGTCCTACTTTTCTCAATCTTCTTTCTCAGGGACAAAGATTCTCATCTGTAGATCCTGGGCATGCCTTGATTTCTGCATCCAGATTAATATTAACTGTGGACTTCTTGCTTACTGCCAAAGTCTTTTGCCACTGGATTCCACCTTACAAGCAAGACTTACTATGTGCTACTGACATCTGTCAATGAACTGGCATAGTCCTTTATTCTCCTGAAACCACACAGCCAGTTGGTAGGCTTCCCACAGCACCTGGAGATGCCAGTAGCTACTGTCATAGGGACCTTCTTTCTTATGCTAGAGCTCAGATGCTGGGTACATACAGTTTGTTCTTCAGCACCAGGACCAGAGGACAGCTCCAATAAATTCTGCACTGGGAAATACCACTGTGTTTCATCTGAAATAGCTCTTTCAGGACTGCAGTATAATAGTCAATTTTATATTTTTGGTTGTAAGTAAATGAAACAAAACTCAAACTTCTTATAAGCACATAAAACATATATTAGCTCTCATAACTTGCAAGTCTAGTGGTGCATTTGGTCTGGATCTCCACATGATGGGTGAGATGGCCGAGACTCACATTCTGTTAGCTTAGTGATCCCAAAAGACACAATCTACCCTGACAGCACCAGCAGCAAAGTCTCAGGAAAGAGTAATTGCCTGCCTTGAGTCTGTGGCACCTTTGTGGCACCTCACAAAAAGGAAGGGCTTTAGTACCAGGAGGAGGTAGTAGTGCTAGAGAGACAAAAATAACAGGGTTCCCTGTAGCTGGCATCATCAGGGGAACTCTCACAACCTACAAATAATCTGAGGTCTGTGGTGGGATAGAACCATCATTCCCCTTGGTAGTGCCTGAACTCAGCTTTCCAGAAGACTCAGCAAAAGCTCCAGATTATAATTCACCTACCTCCTCACTGTCTCTTCAATAACAAATAGGCCCCGGGACACATATGCAAACCAGGTCCAGAAATAGCCTAGGGTGCTTGAAAATACCCCAGGATTGGTATGCAAATAAAATCCTAACACTGAATCCAGGTTCCATTAATAACCTTCTCTCTACTATGCTTATAGTGCAGCCTATTCTATAATGGCTTCAAAGAATGTGTAGTAAATGAGTATTTTTAAAGAAAAAATCTCCTTTGTCCACATCCTCACCAGCACGTGTTATCTGTTGATTTATTGATGACAGCCATTCTAACAAGTGTGAGATGATATCTCATTGTGGTTTTAATTTGCATTTCCCAGACGATTAGTGATATTGAGCAACTTTTCATATGTCTGTTCGCCATCAGTATGTCCTCTTTCGAGAAATGTCTGTTCAGGTCCTCTGCCTATTTTTTAATTGGGTTGTTTTTTGGTGTTGAGTTATATAAGTTCTTTATATTTTTTAAATATTTCAAGAAATATACAGATTCAAAGCAAATATACAGATTCAAAGCAATCCCTATAGAAATACCAATGGCATTCTTCTCAGAATTAGAACAACTAATCCTAAAATTTACATGTAACCACAAAATCCCAAATAGCCAAAGAAATTTTGAGGAAGAACAAAGAGGAAGGTATAAATCTCCCTAATATCAAACTATACTATAAAGCTACAATAATCAAAACCACATGGTTACTGGTGTAAAAAGAGATATATAGGTCAATGGAATAGACAGCCTAGAAGTAAATACTCGCTTACACAGTCAATTAATCTACAACAAAAATGGCAAGGACATACAATGGGGTAAGTCTCTTCAACACGCAGTGCTGGGAAAATTGGGCAGATACATACAAAAAAATTAAACTGGACCACTTTCTTACAACATAGACAAAAATAAATTCAAAATGGATTAAAGACTTAAATATAAAACCTGAAACCATAAAAGTCCTAGAAAAAACATAGGCAATAAACTCTTTGAAAATGGTCTTAGCAATATCTTTTTGGGTATGTCTCCTCGTGAAGGGTAACAAAGCAAAAATAAACAAGTGAGACTACATCAAACTAAAGTTTTTGCACGTGAAAAAACCAACAACAAAATGAAAAGACAACCTAATGAATGGCGGAAGATACTCACAAATGATATATACAATAAGTGATTAATATACGAAATACATAAGGAACTCAGATGCTATTTTAACTTGGATTTTAAAATTCACACGCTTGTGCAGCTGTGACTTGTGACTGCAATGTCTGCCAGCAATTTCTTTCCTCCACTGTTTATTTTCCAAAGGTCATCACTGATAACGGTTAAGTGCATTTCTTTTTGGTCTTAATCTTTGCATTTTACATACCTTGATGATATCCCATATATTTTGAATCTTTTTTAAATTAATGATTGCATTAACATTTTCCAGACCTTTAAAAACTGTAAGCCTAATTCTAATCACGCATCATATTCCAAAAAAAGGATGTATAACCTCACAATTAATTTATTAAAAAAATAAATATATAACCCCTTCTCCCATCTCTCACATTCTTTTATAAACTGAACACTTTTTAAATTGGATCGAAGAGGCTATTGGCTTAAAAAGTTCTAGACCAGACTTCAAAAGAAAAAAAGGTTATTTAATAAATTATATACTCATACCTTTCAGCCCAAGGTCCCCTTTCACATGTAAGATAGACCTGTATTGCCTTCCAGCGTCTCAGAGTGGCTAACTGTTGACTGTTAAGTTGTTTAAGCATATTATTATACCTCAAGTTCTCTTGGCGTGCTTTTCGATTAAATGGCTCCACAAAAAATTCCTGAAAGAAACAGCAATAAATAATACCACTAACTCATCTATTTACAGGTATATTTTAAATTTTAATGCCATAACTTTAAAATTTTGACCCAATAAAGTCATACAGTAAAAAAAAAGCTGGTAATCAATAGGATTTTCTTATTCTATTGGAATAAGTTTCTTTAATGAAGCATGATATGATTCTAGCAATAATTCACTTGCAGTTTTTAAAACTTAAGAAAATAAGCAAGAAGGAGCCTATGTTACGAAATAAACATGTATTTTTTATTTGGTCGTCTTTGTTTCATCGGTATTTTGTAGTTTTTAGCCTACCAATCATGTACATATTTTGTTAAATTGATACCTAAGTATTTCATTTCTTTTTAAATACTCTAAATAGTATTTTTTTTAATTTCAGTTTACAATTGTTTATTGTATGTTTATTGTTTCTGTATCTTAATACAGAAATATAATTGAATTTTGTGTACCGATCTTGTGTCCTTCAATCTTGCTAAACTAGTTAATTACAGGAAATTTTCTATAGATTATTTAGAATTTTCTACAAAGATAATCATGTTATCTGTAAATAGTTTTATTTCTTCCTTCCCAATGTAAATGTCTTCTATTTCTTTTTCTGTTCTTACTGCATTTGCTAGAACTTATAGCTCAACAGTGATAAGGAGTGGTGAGAGTAGACATTGCTGCCTAGTTATCTTCTCTGTCCTATAGAGAACACTCAGTTTTTCACCTTTAAATACCAAGTGAGCTGTAGGATTTTTATAGAGATTTAGGTAGTTCCCTTCTATTTCTGAGAGCTTTGATCACAAATGGATGTTGAATTCTGTCAAATACTTTTCTGCATCTATTGATATGATCATGTATGTTTTCTTGATAAATCTACTAATGTGGTCCATTCTACTGATTATCAAATGTTGAACCATCCTTGCAATCCCAAGATAAACTCCATCTGGTTGTGATATATTATTTTTTCATATATTGCTGGATGTTTTGCACCTATGTTCCTAAGGGATATCGGTCTGTAGTTTTTTTGTACTATTTTGTATGACTTGAACATGAGGGTAATATTGTCCTCATATAATGAGTTGGGAAGTGATCCCATTTTTTTTATTTCTGAAGAGATTGTGAGGAACTGGAGTAATTTCTCCATTACTTTCGTAAAATTTGCCAGTGAAACAACCTGTGTCTGAAGTTTTACCCTTTTAGAAGTTTTGTTTTTTTGGTTTTTTTACCAATAAATTCAATTTCTTTACCAGATAGAGGACTATCCATGTTGTCTACTTATTATTGAATTAGTTTTGGAAATTTGTACTTATCAAGAAATTGATTCACTGCATTTAGGTCATCTTATTTATGTTCATAGATTGGTTTGTAGTAGTCTTTTTTTATCACGTTAACCTTTGTAGAGTCAATGGTGATACCTCCCCTTTCATTCGGGTATTGGTAATTTTTCACTTTTGTTTTTCTGCTTTGTAAATCTGGCTAGAAATTTATCAATTTTATTGATATTTTGAATAACTAGATTTTTATTTCATTGATTTTCTCTGTTTTTCTCTTCCAATTTCATTGACTTAGAAACTAATTTAGATTAGATTACGTTTCTTTTTCTAGTTTAAGTTGGAAACAAATTATTAATTTGAGGCCTTTCTTCTTTTCTAATATACATATTTTGTGCTATAAATTTCCCTCTAAGCACTGATTTATACCCAGACTCCTTAGAGAAACCTATTATCAGCTTAATAGGCTTTTTACATAATCACTATTAAATTTTTTTCACTGCTCAATGTTTTCCTTCCAATTCTGAAGTAATTTCAGACAGATGGAAATACTATTTGTTTTCAAAGTTCAGACTTGATATTACTTGAAATCAATGTAAAAAAACTAGATACTAAAAGCACTTAACAGTTTTACCTGGAACTTGAGCTTGCTTTCTCCTCCTTCCCGGTCTCTTTTATGCATATTCACCATTAAGGCTTCGTAACAATCCTTCCAATAAAGTGCCATGTTCTCATGACCATCATAAAATGTATGGGTTTCATACTGCTTCATATAAGGTATAATCTTATAAAAATATATATACAAAATTTAATATATACTTCTATAAAATAAGTTAGCAGAAAAATCTCACTCAAAAAAGATAAAACTTACATATTTTTCAATGTAAACTTGCCATTCATTTGAACTGCAATATTCTTGAAAATCTTCAAAAAATGAGGAACTACCATTGGTAAAAGGTAAAGAAGGCAGGTGCAAGTTCATGAAGAGAAGATCATAAATTTTGGAAACCAGGGTACGGACAAGGGGAATCAGAAATGAGTAGATTTCCGTCTGTTCCTTGATTGATTGACTTAGAACATGTTCTAGCTTTCCTAAAATATAACATGCTTCATCCTGATTTTCAATCACTTTGGTCTGCAGAAGGGTGTTTAGCTTAGCTGATGCCATTGCACAAACCTAAAGGAAAATAGGTGAGATAGAGCAGAATAAAGCCAACATTTAGTGATAGCAAAAGTTTTTTCACTCTTCTTAAAGTTTTTTTTAAAGAAATTATAAATGTATTACATGTTTAATTTGTAATAAACAGTAAAGCTGTGGTGGATAATTAATCATTCAACAGCCATTCCACTTCTCATAGTCTGCAAGGATGGGGGAATGATTCCATCTCTAGGTTTCAGTAACAGGTTGGAAAGGTTAAAAGCCAAACAGGATATCCAATCCCTTGCCACAGTGACTAGTTCAGTCAACTCACATCATTGTCTTTGTCAAAGGGATTCATTCAGGGATAGCCTTATCAGTGCAAGTTCAGAATTTTTACATAATAACTGCTACGAAATGTGAAGGGTCTCAGAATTTATCTCACCTCCAAGCTAAAATGTTAGCCTACCACAGTTTCATAGATACTGGCAGAAGACATTAGACTCCTGGGTAGGAAACAAAGATCTACAGCATTAGTAACAGCCAGAATATCAGTGTTTACCTCGATTCCCCAAACTGCAATTCCCACCATGAGAGATGAACAGGACTAGATGATGCCTGCATGCACAGTGGTTGCATTACAGGAGAGGAACCCCGAGCACAGGGAACTCAAATCTTTTATATGGGGCAGTAAGCGCATCTAAACACTGCCTGGGAGGGAGACATTATCTTTATTATGCTTGACAGTACACAGACCTGCTTTTTGCTCTGGAGGGAAGACATGATCTCTGTCTTCCAAAGTTGTTCACTATACATGCATCCTCAGAAAGACCATTCATAACAAAGGCATCCAGTGTCTCTATTCATAAGATATGCAGAAACACAAAAGATCCATGAAGAACTATCTACTGTAGGAAGAAGCACTCCCTTTCTCTGGATATGAATAAGGAAGCATGTAGCCCCAAAAGCTGTTGGTAGCCATACTGTGACAATAAGAGCAGCCAAGCTTAGGACCAAATGACATATGATGGAGAGCAGTGCTGCAAGAACAACAAATAAATGTAACTGGACCTTCAACTGAATCATGCCTTAATCTCATCTTAACTATGGAATTTTGAATTACATGAGTCAATAAATCTAAATAAGTCAGTTGGACTTGATGTTTCTGCTATTTGGAATCAAAAGTATTCTAATACAGGTACACAGGTACAGGACAGGTACAAAGGAGACCAAATACTTGATCAGAAATCTAATTATCCTGCGCTAGCCAGGTAGCTCAATTGGTTAGAGCATCATCCCAATACACCAAGGCAGCGATTCGATCCCCAATCAGGGAACACACAAGACTCAACCAGTGAATTCATGAATAAGTAGAACAACAATCTCTCTCTCAAATCAATAAATAAAAAATAAAAAGAAATCTAATTATCCTTGAAGTTCCCAAGGAAAATAGATATTCCAGGCACAAATCCATGCAAATACCCCATATTGCTATTAAGCTTTGACCTCAAACTCCAACACAGAAAGGTAAATGAGGTCACAAAAGGGCCTCCTTTTGTCTACGATAAAGATCTAAAATTTAAGACCATATCAAGACAAATGATATAAAGTGTCTCCTCCCTTAACTCTAAATCCCAATTCTGAATTGTATTACTTTCAAAATTTTAAATAGCAGGAGAAAAAATAGAAATTATTAGAACCTGACATCACTTCAAGAATGCATTTGTGCCAAAAGCTAGTCTGACCTGTGTGCACAGGTCTTTACGGGCCAAAAAACAAGAGACAGTGGGCATTCTCTCCATGCAAGCCTTGAAGAAGCAAACAACACTGGAGGAAACAATCTCTGAGAAGGCTCAAAACTTTAACTTTTCTACTTTTAACTTGAGCTTTTACTACTAATGAAGCTTCTCTACCCTCCTCAGATTTTTTCCAAACCCCATCATTTTAGTCTGTGAATCTGACTAAAGAAGATTAATTCTAACAGAGGCCAACAAATGTAAGAAAAAAAGTCATACGTTTTCCCATCAATCAGGAAATATGAGTGCTAGTATTCTGGGATTTCATGTTATGTGTTTTTTAAAATACTGTTTATATAAAAAGTGGAATATTCAGTGCTTTGCTTTTAATTTAATATTATGGTATAAAATAAATATAAGTTTATATGTTTATTTAAAAGTATAAAGAGATTTTTAATAAATACAAAATAATTTAGTTGACCACTAAGTTATTTCTCAGTCACCTGAGAAAGTACAAAATATACTGATGCCCTAGTTCCCCATTTCTGATTTAATTACTATGGGTAATGCTCCACAAAGGTATTTAGAAAAAGCTCCTCCACCACTGGCTGAGCTAAGACAACTGGGAGAGTAGAGACCCAGACAAACTAGAGACCATGTATTGCATCTAAATAAATGCAGCTTTCCAAACAACCACCCAGTCTCACGTTAGAGACAAGCTAGAAATCTTGATGTTTATGTAAAATTTCCTAATACTTAAAACACTGGAAATTAGCTAATATGTGCCAAGCAAAGGAAGTTTGCTAGCAAGATTCATTTTGCAAGCAGTTCTATTAAAACTTCTATAAGGGAAGAGGTTCCTTTCCCAGCCTTTAACATGCACAACCTCAGGAATATATTCTTTCATTTTAGAAAGAATGAAATTAAACAACTGGCTAGTGAGAAATGGTTTAAATCACTGACTACTGGTAGGTAGGATCGGTCTCATCTATAGGTGCTGTACTCATTTATTTGACAAGTATTTCTAGAGCCCGACTATGAGACACGCACTGGATATTTAATGTTGAACAAACCAAAGAAATAGACATTTTATTTAGTAAAATTTCATCACAGAGAAAAACACCGAGGGTGACTAAGTGGAACAAAACAGAGTCCTAATATCTGAAATAAATAACTACCCAGCACGCAGGCTGTGACAACTGCATTAGTAGTCATCAGGTTAACATTCATGAAAAAGCCAAAACATCTATTCTCAGTCTACTTCTAGGCACAGAAGAAAAGAATACTACAATGAATATCTATGTGTACAAAGGCTGTCAGTATTTCAGATTACTATCTTAGGATATAGTTTCAGAGCATAATTACTAAACAAAGAGTATAATGTTTTACAGGTTCTAGTTCATATACTTTTAAATTGTATTTAAAAGGCTTCACAATTCAAACTTCTACCATCTATAAATTACAATGCCCATTTTCTTGTTTACCTTTTCTCCAATTTCCATGTTTTTTAACAATGAATTTGTGTTACTTTTATGACAAGAAAAAACTATCTTTAAAAAGTTAGTAACATGGAGAAGTGAGTTTGATATAATCGTGAAAGAGAAAAAACACAAATTTATCAAAATATTGATGATTCCAATCATCTAAAAAATACATGCATAGAAAAACACTAAAATAGTTATTTTCTTTTAGGCTATGAGATAATGAATATGTTATTTATTTTTTCCTCTTTATGCTTTTGTATATTTCCCACAATGAGCTTGTGTTACTTTTATGATTAGGGAGGAAAAAAATCTATTGAAAAGTATGCCCTTTTTGAAACAGAGCAACCTTATGAAATTTTAACCCCCTCATGCTCTTATCAATATTATATCAAGTTTATGTATATCAGAAACCACCTTCACCCAGATGCCCCCTGAACCCCAAGTACTTAAAATTCTAATACCAAAAGAAAATAAAAAGGGCCAGGTAAATAGCTAGTGGGATGTATGTCATGACCCAGTTTATCATAAGTATCCAATGTAAATATAAAGATGACAGACTAAAATTAATATGAAATTTTTCCAACGTTTAAAATTTTTTATTTTTAAAACAGAAATGAGAAATATTCCTTTGGTATATATTTTATTTCTTTTTTTTGGAAACCTAGCACAATGCTAATACTTGGTAGATATTCAGTAGGTGTTTGATGAATTAGTGGGTTAGAAGAGTAACAGAAAATGATTTTTAAATAACTTAAAAAAATGACTTTCCTAAACTGTAAATACTAAAATGCACATGTATAAATAGTCTGTGCAAGCAGGATAGCTCCTAGCTGCACTAAATATAGATATGAGCAATGCCTTCTAATATAAGCTATGTATAAATACTTTAAAAGGAAACCTTGTAATTGATACCAAGTCATAAACATTAGGAAGAAATAATTAGCTGACTCACAAAACTGAAAGTAGAATAAATCATAAATATTTTGGAATAAAAAAATTAAAATACTGATAACATATTATTTAGTTATCACACAAATAATTCCTATATTCCTTGCAAGTATAGAAAATAATGTAAAAGAATTGACAAACCTGCAAATTACCCCTTTCAATAAATCCTAGAAGCAACTGGATTTGAATTTGAGAGAGCTTTACCCATAATGGACTTTCAGAATAGCAAACTGACAGAGAGTCGAAGAGCAGCATCATATCCTCTAAAAGCTATTGCAAAGGAAAAATTGAAAAGGAAAAACATTTAGTTCTTTAATTTACTGATGATGACTTTTTCCCAACACTAATACAAATCATAAGCATTTCAAAACTAGTTCAATGTACAGTTAGTAAAAGTCAAAAGATTTATCCTAGTAGCAAGCTAACAAAATCTGTGACTATCACATCTTATCCATGGTTATTTGCATCTGATTAAATATCAATACTCAGAAAAGAGGGGATACAAAATTTCTTTGTTTAAATAAAGTCCTTCATTACCAAAGAAATGATTTCAAAGAGATATTACTATACCTTCTCATTCCACGTGTTTGAATTAACTAGTCCCTCAGACTGCAGAAAGTCCTGTATGATCAACATGAGTCGGAAGGCGTTTTCAGCAGTTACTGGATTAGTTTTTGCTTCTCTGTTTTCTGTGACTGCCCATTCTAACATCTTCTGCAGCAAACTAAGTGTAAAATAAAGTCCTCTTAAAACCATTTTAAACTTAGAAAAATAGTAGGACATTTTTTTAAAGTTATTATTAAATAAGACTATCTCCAAAGATACACTATCTCTGGCAGGCATAATAAAACACTTGGATAGAATTTAATAACAATGAAGCAATTTTTTATCTTTGGAGTATCTTTTTAACTAATTTTAGAGAGGAGAGGAAGGAAGAGGAGGGAGACAGAAATATCCATGTGAGAGAGAAACATCGATCAGTTAACTCCAGCACGTACCCCAATCAGGGATCGCACCAGCAACCTGGAAATGTGCCCTGATTGGGAATCAAACCCATGACCCTGTGGTGCATGGGCTAATGCTCCAACCAACTGAGCCAGACTGGCGAGGGCTGGAGAATCTATTTTAATATACCTAATACTAAATGGCAAAGTAAAAGTTATCTGTTGACTATTAAAAAGTTATGAAAATAATTCACATTCAAATCTCCATGAAATACTTAAAAGTTTCTTTAAAGCTGAAATTGGAAAGGTAAGAAAAGGGAGTCTTATTATGCCTTATAGCGGGTCAAGCTCTGTGGAAAAACAAAGAAGTAAATCTCTCCTAGTATGCTACTGTTAGTGTTCTATCTTATGTAGTGAACTCAATGCTTTAGAGAAGTAATTTTCATGAAAACACTACTCTCCTCCCTTAGCATTCAAACACTTAAATATAGACAAGCCCATAGAACACAAGCACCAAGTGCTTAGATACTGCAGAAAACAATTTTTTGTTACACGTTTTTATTAATTTCAGAGAGAGGAAGGGAGAGAGAGACAGAAACACCAATGATGAGAGAGTCACTCTTTGGCTGTCTTCTGGACACCCTCTGCCGGGGATCAAGCCCACAACCAGGGCATGTGCCCTAACCGGGAATTGAACCTCGATCTCCTAGATCATAGGTCAGTGCTCAACTGCTGAGCCATGCCAGCCAGGCTACAGAAAACAATTTAAACAAGGAATATATAATGTCTTAAAACCCAAGTTAATTTAAGATTTAGCCCTAGCTGGTTTTGCTCAGTGGTTAGAGCATCGGCCTGTGGACTTAAAGGTCTCGGGTTTGGTTCCGATCCAGGGCGCATACCTCAGTTACAGGTTCGATTTCCACCCTGGTTGGGGTGCATGCCGGAGGCAGCCAATCGCTGTCTCTCTCTCTCACATTGATGTTTCTCTCTCTCTCTCTCTTACTTCCACTCTCTCTCTGAAAAGCAATGGAAAAAATATCTTCATGTGAGGATAAACAAAACAAAACAACAAAAAAAGATTCGTCTCTTCACATTGGAGCTAGTTTTGGATTTCTCTCTAGAATGGCAACAGACAGAAAAGGGGCTAAAAACAAAGTTTTTCTCTGCATCTACTGAATACAGGATAAATGTTCAATAAAAAGTTTTAGACTCCTGCGCACTCCAAGAAGAGAGGGGGAGTAACCAACCCAATGCTTACATTAGTTTTATTTCATCTGATGGTCGAAGTAGCTCACTGGATATTCCTGATTTAGTTAGTGCTGAAAACACTTGTCCCCGTTCAATCCAAGTACTATCATCAGACTTTTCTAGTCCTTTACACATTACATAGATCAAAATATTTGTCAGTAATTGAAGAAGCTCCTCCTCACACCTCTATAAAAAATATAAAGTAATATTAAATTACTGGAGGGAGGGGGTGTTAAAAGCACATAAGAACCATCACATATACTGACTGTAATCCTTTAACATATTAAAGTGTCTGGATGAACTTGGAACTTTACTAGTAGGTCCTACAGAGATACAAGGATGACTAAGACACTGCCTGTGTTCTCAAGACACACATAATTTAGTGACTTATAGGCTTCTAATATCTTAGGTAATGAGACTTAGAACATGAATATAAAATGAAATTGTTAATTACACATTTCTAAGGATTAGAAGTATTTAATAGACATATAAAAATAAAAATAGTATTTGGACAAATAAGGTATTTTACCTCTTGGCTTTCAAGTAAAGAGAAGTCATCACTAAAGCCCGTATCATTTGTGATGCTGCTTTCTTTGTCAGATTGCACAGAAAATGATTTAGAAGACTCTATCGGGGATGGCGTGCTAGGCAAGCTATCTGGCATTTGACTGCCACTGTCACTCAGTTCACATGAGTCAATTCCACTGAGATCTAAACTCAAATGTGAAGGGTTATTGTGCCAGAATTCTTCCTGATTCTCTGATTTGAAAGACAATTCTCCCAAAGAGCTATCTTCTTGAAATAATGGTGTGTTTGAATCTAGAGAGTGTCTATCCTCCAAACTCCACTGATCAGAAGACACATTAGCTGAGGCAAAAGAGCTGATTTTTTCATCATCTGTCTTTTCATCAAAGTTCCTCTTGATATCTTCAGCTGATATATTTTTATCATTGTCTTTCATTAAAACAGCCCTATTGTGCTTATGAAGAGTATTTCCATTTTCAAAATTTGCTTTAACAAAAAGCCTAACGAAAGTGTCTTGCCAACCCACTTGTTGAGATATTTGATGTGCTGCATCTGGCTGGGACTGTAAAATCTGTAAAATCTGCAAAGAGATTAAGAACACAAAATTCATCAAAAAGTACACAGTACTTGACATAAAAAACAATTTCTTTTCAGTTATTTTAATGACAAAGTAACTTAATGAGAAATGTTCAGAGGATATACTTTCAAAAGATTATGTTTTTGTTTTTTTAAAATATGTCTTTATTGATTTCAGAGAGAGGAAGGGAGAGGGAGAGAGAGATAGAAACATCAATAATGAGAGAGTCACTAATCAGCTGCCTCCTGCATGCCCTCCACTGGGGGTCAAGCCTGAAATCCGGGCATGTGCCCTGACAGAGAATTGAACCTCAATCTCCTGGACTATAGGTCGGTGCTCAACTGCTGAACTACACCGGCCAGGCAAAAGATTATGTTTTTAACTGGACTAGAAACTATTTGGAGAGCAAACATTATGTTTGTAACTAATCCACATATTTCATTACAAAGTAAGGATGTACTCAAATATGTGCTGAAAGATAAAGGAAAAAAGATAAATGATCCTCCACATGTCAACACACTCATGTTATTAATTTAATTTGGTTAGAGAGAAAATATAAATAGAATGAAGGTATATTTAAAATGTAATAAAGTTATATCCTCTTAACTAAATACTTCCCATGAGACTACTACATGTTTAGCAAATATTGAACATCTACGTAGCAGGCACAGTTCTCGTACTAGGGTTAGGGGAGTAGACAGGACACACAAGACTCTTGGACAGAACCTAAGTGCCCAAAAATAGTGTTTGCCCATCTCATTTTTTTCCCTAGACAAAGTTGATGGTTGTTTTTGTGAAAGCATTTTTTCCATTCACTCTATAATGTGCAAACAAAACAAAAACAAAACTTTAATTCCAAAAAACACCCTAATTCCAATAAAATGGAAGCTGCTATTTAAATAGAATAAGAAATTGAAATTAAAGAGTAGACACTGACATGGTAAAGTGTATGATCTCCACTACCCAACTGATTTCAGATTTTTGGGGAATAAAATAAGTTCTCAAACACTGTCAAATTTAGTTAAGATCTTTAAGACATTTTTAACACAAAGCCAATGAACTTCTACATAGGTGAAAAGAACTCTGGCTCCTGGCATTTAGAGCATCTCTTTTATCAGAATTTCTAACTCTGAGAGGTTTCATAGCAGGAGATGAATAATGTTGGTAGGAACTTCAATATTAATAGTTCTAATGTACACTGATGCTGATACAGAAAGTAATGAGGCACAATGACATGTGAAGTTTCTTTCTTCATTAATGCTATCAATCAGTGAGCTCCCATTACTCTATAGGTGCAGTATACCAATTCTTTTTTCTTCCAGATTAAGTTTTGCTTAGATAAAAACTAGGCTGCATGGACAGCTGTTTTTAATTGCACACTGAAAGGAAAGGATTAATTCACATGACCTGCTTCAAGGACAATATGGCAAAATTCATCAAAATGTAAACTCTAAATACCCTTTGATACAGAAATTCCATTTCACAGATTATGTCCTACAGATGTATCACCACAAAGAGATAAAGATATATGCAAAAAAATGTTCTTAATAGAAGTTTATTAACATGAAAAAAAGAGGAAACAACCTAAATGTCCATCAACAAGGAAGCAGATAATACTTTACAGAATAGTCAAAAAGTGAAAAATTATGTAGCCATAAAAGAGAAAGATATATATCCACATTTACTGATGGAAAAATACTGTGAGATAATCAGGGAAAGATAGAAAAAAAAGCAAGGAAGCAAATTAAATACCAGTGGAGTAGAGAGGTTAGAATCTCAAGGAATAACTAGTTGTTGACTTAGTTAAAGGTTAAATGGGCGCACTGAAGGCAAATCATTGTTGGAATAGTCATAAATAGATTATAGAAAATTCTTTCCACAAAGTTCAAGTTTCAGAAACTTTAAAATACAGTAAATGAATTAGAAATGGCCACAATCATTGCAAGTTCTTAATAAAGAAACTATTCTCTGGTTATAAATGTTTGACTCTGAAAGGGCAGATTTCCAGGACCCCATGTAGGGCTAAGAAAAATAAATTCATATGTTGACTGCTTGTAAGTACATGAAGTTAATTCACCTCAAAAAAGGAAACTATAAAACCATGTCATTTATAAAATAATAGATATTAAAACTTATATCTGGTGCAAAGTACTCCATCTAAAAGTTATTCACAGTATAATGACACTGCTATTTTTAAAGTCTATCTTTAAAAGTTTACTAACCTTTCTGCAGATGACCACTCTGACATTTATGTATGTTCTGTGAGATATATATACCACAGATAACAGATCTTTGAAATTAATAGCAGGATCTGTGGTGGGGAAAAACAAAAAGTTAAAATTAAATTCCAGAGATAACCAAAGAAAGAAGTGTAAGTAATTAGTTATATAAATGCTGAAACAATTGTTTCATTTTAAATAGAAAGTACAGATATGTTTAAATTTTATGAAGACAATAGGTTTAGAATGTTTGACATCTTCCTGAGTAAACTGTAAATAATTACACTTTTCTTTTGATTGCCTGAACATACTGTCCATACTACTTGATCTCATACTATTATCTTTTTAAGTACGTTTTGTCTTATCAACAAAATGGTAAACCACTCAAGACAATCACTTTATCTTACAGCACGATACAAATTTTAGTTTTTAGTATGTACTAAAAAAAAGGTTTATAAGAAAAAGAATATCTGAAATTACTTTTAATTTTGCCTTTAAGAATTTAAGCTCCATAAAGAAAAAAGATAAAGTATTTTGTACACATTTTCTCTAGTGTCCTTTTCTTGTTATAGAGACTCAGTTATTTACTAATCACTCAGTCAATAAACATTAACTAAAGGCCTACAAAGTAAGGCCCTGTGTTAGTCCTAGGAAGAAAATAAAAGACAAAGGTACATAAGAAACAGTACCCAAGGGAAGCCTTGCTGAATCAAGTAACAGGTAATTTACAAAGCAATTTGAGGAAGGAAGGAAAAAGGACCTCAGGAAAAAAAAAATTGAGAAGCATCAAATAGAATTATGCTGCTATGAAAAACATTTCTTAAAAATAATCAATATTGCCCTGGCTGGGTGGCTCAATTGGTTGGAGCATCATCCCCGTACACACTGATGTTTGTTTGTTTCTCTCTATCTCTCTTCCCTCCCCCCACCTAAAAAAATCAATAAAAATATATCCACGGATGAGGATTAAAAAAATATTTTTAAAAAATCATCGGTATCATCAGCCTCAGTCATACCTGTATTTATGATCTGATTGGTGAGGTTTTTAATCAGAGAAGTATTAACAGGCGCTTCATTGAGAAGGAGTCCCAATCCTGAGTAGCCAACTTCTCTGAGTCGAATACGTTGTTTACTTCGTTCATAAACATTCGTGCATTTCAACATTTGTTCCATAACCTGGTCACAACAGTAACAGAGTCTTCTCAATATAGAGAACTAAGAACAATTAGTCGCTTAGGTTAATATTGAATAAAATATTAGTGTAATATGTTTTCTGTAGCATAATTTTACTTCTTAAGTATTAAAAAAAAACAAAACAAAAAACCACCACCACCACACAGCACTAATAGGGAGGAGTGCTCCATATCGTACTCATTCAAAAATAAATTTAAAAATAAATGAGACTAAAACACATCTGTATTAGAATAATTAATATGTTGAAAATTATAGTTTACAGTTATTTCTTATCAGATGAAAGAGATAATTTTTCTTTTAATGGCTAAGGGTGTAGGTGGAAACAAACCCTGTAGTTTGTAAGAGATACAAAGATGTGTTCTGAAAGATCTAGGTACTTCTAGATCAACCTAGAAATCCATTCATGTAACAGTTATTAAAATATTTTTTAATAATGAAGAAACAGTTCGTGAAGCAACCAATCCATATGCTAAAATGAGTGAATAAATTAGCAACCCCATACTTCTTGGAGATCAACATTTTTCAAAGTGAGATACTAAGACCACATATGGAAAGGTTAATCCTGAAAATAATATCATGAAAAATCCCTCAGAGGCCATTTTTGAAGAAATAACATTTAATCTCCATAAAGGAACACTTATATGATCCAATGCTTTAAAGAGTGGCCTCAGGGGTCACCATAACCAATACGCAAGAGACTATGTCAGACCATTTTTAGTGCACCTTTGTTTTCTAAAGTTTAGGGATCTCAAACATAGGCAATCCAAATATGACCCCATAAGTAGACTTTATAATGTAACACTAATGCTGTAAGAGGAAACAACTGTTATAAGGCAATTAAGCATAATAAACAGGAGAATAAATAAGGAAAAAAAGACTGCATTCAGCAGTAGAAATATGACTAACTCCTCCGTTTTTAGTTAACAAAAAAGGTAGAGTGGGTGGCTTCAGCAAAAGTTCAGAGTTTGGGATATTATAGATAGTTTGATAAAATACATTCTACATCCTTTGACAAGGAAGCCTCAGTTTCTTCATCTGTAAAATGGGGATGAAAATAATATCCACCTCATAAAGTTGTTGCAAGTGCCTGACAATAGTGAGTGCTACATGAGGTTAGTCATGATCTGCCACATAGACCTGTCATAAGTCAAAGTGGAGATGAGAGATTTTATATTGAGGATGATATGACAAACTATATTATCCACTGAAATGTACTAAATATAATTAGTTTTTTAATATGCAAATAACAAAACCACGAAAAATATATACCGAAACAAATGTGACAATTTATAGATAGAAGTAGATATGAAAAAAGAATTTATATTCATAGAACATATACATTCCAAGTAAATTCATATACCCTAACGGCCCCAAAATATAAAGACATTTAAAAAATGTACCTTAAAAAAAAAAGTACCTTAAAAATGATTTCCTTCAGTCTGTCAGAGTACTTCTGATTTAAGAGCAGGGCATAAAGTATGTCAGCACTTCCTGGTTCAAACAGCAATAAGAAAAGCTGACCTCTAGTTGGGCTGGTACGCAGAAGACTAAAGAGTATATCCAAAATTCCAACGAGCTTTTAAAATTAAACAGGACAAAACAAAAAACCACATTCATTATGGAAGCCAAATGAAATCATAACCCACAAACCAGTTATTTAAATCCTACACACCCTAATATTCTAGCTTAACTCAACTATTTGATGTCTTCTGACCTGTGCCTTTCACTCCATTATGCTTTTGGTTTATTACATTTCCTTTGGTATATCTTCTCACTACTATATTTACCTGCTGAACTATACCTATCCCGTTTTGTCCACATGGAAAGCAATCTCTTCCATAAAGCCTTTCCTGGTCTCAACATGTAATACTCTGCTATGAAAACCTCATAGGACTTTGTGTCTCTCAGACAGATGTTACCATACTCTGTTTGTTTGTTTATTTCATAATTATTTATAAACTTATTCACCCCTGATTCCATTAAGCTAAAAGTAAAAATGATAACTGATTCATCAATGTAAACCTACAATGCTGGTATGATATATTTTAAGTTTTCAATAAATAATTCTTTGAATTCACTAAGGAAATATCATTGGCAATTAATTATAGCAGGTGACAATAGAGCTATCAAAAAATAAGATGGCTACTCATTCTAAATAATAAGCTTTTGAAGTAGTCCAACCATACAGGAAAACTGGCAAAGTTAACTTATCTATATAATACTAATTATAAAGTCATGTAATCATTGAGTAAACAATGAGTATTTCATGATACAGGGAAAAATTTTGAATCAACATAAATTAAAGCTGCTCAAATTTGGTGTTGAGAGTGATATACAGAAAGAGCACAGAAACAACAGTAAATACACTCAGTTCTTCTAATCCCAGGTTTATCAGCTGTGTGACTTTTTAAGTTAAGTCACCTAATCTCTCTGAACATATATTTGCAAATGTACAAGTGGGAAGAGTAATTCCCAGTCTGTATATTTTATACCAGTGGTTCTCAAATTCTACCATGCACCATAATCGCCTGGAGAGCTTGATTCAGCAGTATATTTTCATTTCTAAAAAGTTCCCAAGTAAAGCTGGTCAGGAACTATACATTGAGAACCACTGTGTTAAAGAATAGTTCTGAGCTATAAATAAATAATGTATATAAAAGTATTTAAAAACAGAAATACATTTACAATTTACTTTATGTAAAGTTTTTATGAACCTATGTTATATTAAAATTCATGTTAGAAATCTGCCCAGTAACTCTGGTGATAGGTAAATATACATTATGTGACCTATGAAAATAGGCTCAGAATTGCCAGACAAAGCAACCATTCCACATCCTACTTCCTAGTTCATTAAAATATTTTATTACACTGCCATCTAATTTATTAAACTTTCAGTTAGGAGATAAATTTTACTTCTTTAACTGCATAATATTGTATGTGATACTATAAGCATTTTACTCTTAAAATATGTTTATTATACATGTATAAGTTGAAAAGATGATGATATAGCAACTTAAATATTAAAAAGAAAAATTAGATTATCTTGGTCATAATACCTGTTCTTCTTCATTAATAGCAGCTATGTAACCCATAATACTTTGTATCTCTTCATGAGTTCCACCTTTGCACAGAAAATATTTAATTAGTCCATACAAAGAAGTCCTTATTGTTCGAATATCATCTAGACACAGCTCATTATATTTACAATCACTCCTGAAAAAGAAAGTAAAAATGCAAGAATTTAAAATTTTTATATTTGTGTATTTTTTATATAAAAAATTCATATTTAAAAAAGATATTTCTGCCCTGACTGGTGTGCTTAGTGGTTATAGCACTGGCACATGCACAGAAGGGTTCCAGGTTCCATTCCTAGTCAAGGATACATACCTTGGTTGCAGGCTCAATCCCTGGCCCTGGTCAGGCATGTATGGGAGGCAACCAATCAATGTGTCTCTCTCACACTGATGTGTCTCTCTCCCTTTTTTTCTCTCTCTCCCACTCCCTCCCTTCCACTATCTCTAAAAATCAATGGAAAAAATAAATAAATTAAAAAGATGTTTCCCATGTAATTATTAGAATTCATAATGTTATTAACCAATGAACCCCAATAAATTTAATTTTTTTAAAAAAATTCATGGTATCTTTGGCTTTTTCTACACAGGAAATCTTTGAAGTTAGGCTTTTCAATGACAAAAATATAAATGTACATCTTATGTAGCACTCACTATGTGGCAGACACAGTTCTAAGTGCTTTATACATTATTAACTCATTTAATTTAATCTTCAACACAATCATCAGATGTCTCAGTTTTATTATATCTTGTCACAGAACAGGAAACTTAAACACAAAAAAGTTGAGTAAGTTGCCTATGGTTAGTCAATTAATGAAACGAAAGATTCAAACCTATCATTTTGACCTCTACATTATCCTGCCTCTCTGAAGTTAAAAGGGTATTAGAATTGCTGGAAAATAAACAAGCTAAACATTCCAATCAAGTAGCAGGCAGAAAATATCAAACTGAGAAGGTGTAAGAACATCATACCCATAATAAATCCTAAGTGTATCTAGTAGAAACTGCACACCATACTTCTTTCGGAAAACTCTCCTGCTGTCTTTGATGATGGTAGAAAGATACTGTATATGACCTAAAACAGAAAGTTCACTCTTAAATGATACACCTAATATAAAGTCACATTATGTAGTTCTAAATTTCTAAAACAACTATAAAATTTTATCTAATAGTCTGCTCTCACCGATTCGAAAGGGAAAATCTCCACGGTTCCAAATACGGAAGTCGAAGAGTAAATACTGATACATTTGTTGCAGGAGCTGCATATTTTTTTCTAATGATACTTGTTCAATTAGTAATTGAATTGCCATCAATACATTAACATCCATCAAGGTGCTTGGCACCTGAAATCCAAACAGAAAAGGGTTCTGTAAAATTCAGCTTAAATAACTGTCATTAAGCTCTAATTTTTTTAGAACACCTACTAAATATAAAATTTAAATAAATTAAAAATTAAATATAAAAATCTTGATTAGAAAATGTAAACAACTTAAAACATTAATTTTTCTGAAGTAATGATAGAACATATTTTCCTAATGTTATAAACTGATAAAAATCGCAAATAACAAAGCTAATAAACAAGGTCCCGTTATGTTAATTATTGTATATAAGGTGATTAAATAGCTCTTAAAATCTACTTGTGAAATAAATTATATCCATTAATATACAGTGTAATATTTTTTTAAAATACTTATTAGGAAGAAAAATTTCAACACTAACTGCTAATTACCATCATCAGCCACATCTACATAATGTTAGACTAGCTCACCTTCTGAAGTAAGGCACCAAGAGTGGCAACTCCACGGGAGTGAATAAGATTGTCCTGGTTAATAGGATGCCTTTGAAGAAAGTGTTTCACAATCAAGATAAATGTTGCAACTAAACTTCTCTCTAGTCTTGACTCTGTGGAATTGTGAACATGTCATTAATTATCGTAATTAATCACTTTTATATCATATTTTCTATATCATAATGAGCATTGTAACATACAAAGAATCTGGTTAAGAAATCTGCCTCCAAAGATCACTTACAAAATACAAATATCAGAGAAACCAACAACTGCATACTGTATGCTTATATGCACATGTAAATATTTCCTCTACCATAAATTTAACAATGTTGTCATATTTTCACTAAGAGGATAAACTAAGAATAAGAGTAAAACTAACAATTTAAGTTTTTTGACCAAAGAATTATAAACTTTCTGAACTACATTAGTAAAATTAGGGATGGGCTGCTTCAGCTATAAATGGTTAAGTTTCTTCTTAATAGTGGCAAGACATTTTAATCTATTTTTCAATTAATTCTCCAATTTTTCAATGACTACTTTGTATTAATTTCATCTTAATACCTGATGTCTTTGTAGAGGCTGATACCGTAACCCACTCTCCTTCTACAGGTGTTATCAACTCAGAAACTGTTCTTTCACTCATCCCTTCAGGAATCTGTCCACTGAAGAGGCTGATTTGTTCCAGTAGAGGAAAGAGTACATTTAACCCACCTATGCAGTTTATTACGTCCTGAAAAAGAAAATTACAATTTTTTAATCTTTAAAACAAGGGCAACTTTATCATTTAATATCTACACAGCATGTATGAGGTTATACTTTACTAAATCTTTAGGCATTGTATGGGATAGTCTATGCTAAAGGAACCCTTCTATGGGCACATGCTTTAAAGAGCAGTCTCAGGGGGCACCATAATCAATAATCAACAGAGACTAAGCCCGACCATTTTTACTGCACCTTTGTTTTCCAAAGTTCAGGAATTCCAAACAGGCAGTCTAAACATGACCCAGTAAGGTGAGTTTATAATGCAACGCTGATGATGTGAGAGAAAACGGTCACAAGGTAATTAGGCATCAAGAACAGAATAAATAAAGAAAAAAGTTAAAACATATTTGGCAGAAGTACGACTGGCTCCTCTACTTTTAGTTAACAAAATATTCAATATCCTTTGACGTGTTACTAATTTCTCTGCCTCAGTTTCTTCACCTCTAAAATGATATTGATTCCCACTCTGTACAGGTGGTACAAGGGTGAAGTAAGCTAATATGTTAAAAGTGCCTGGTGCCTGACACAGTTAGTCTACATAACGTCAGCTATTACTAACTGCTAAAATGCTCTCAACTGCCATGGAGGCCCAGCTTAAGTCTGTAAGCAACCTCTTCATACTTACAAGCCTTGTAAAACCAACCTTACGAGTGACAGCAAAAGTTAACTTATAAATTGGTAAACACATCATAAATTTTACTCTGGTAACAGATAAGAAGTGTTCTTATCTGTTCTTATGGCCAAAGAGAAAAAAGATTGATACCACGCAAGTAATGAATTTAATACTAACTGATGGGTTCATTTTTACACAGGAAGAATTATCCTAATGATTTGTTCTATCGAAAGAATAAACATATTCAATTGGTGTTAAAGTAACTAGAAGGGGTTGAAATCTGCAACATAGTTTTAGGGATTAAATACCTTAACAAGTGGAACAATTAACTAAGACAGTATATTTTTCTCACGAAAATTGTTAAGCTGATGGTATAGTTTAAAAACTAAATTTCAAGCATATCAGACATTCAACTACTTATTTGTTCATCCTTCAAACTGTGTATCTTGCCTACAAACATTTCAGTGGTGACTTATTATTAAAACCAATCTGGTGGTGCTTAAAAGATAAATCCTTCTAAAGGATCAGTAAACTTATATGTTACCTGCCATTTATCATTAACTTACCTTAATGTCCCAGTTCACTACTTTGTTTCCCGTTAACCTTCCATGCAGACAATTAGTAGATAAATCAAGACAGATTGAATTTTTGCAGGCCTAAAAATAAATTTAAAAATGGCAAACAACTAAGCACAATGAAGACAAAACATACCTTTAACTATAGATGGAATATTTCACCATAATTTTAAAAGGTATATAGTATAGTCAATGACAAGATACCTACAATATTAAGTTTAGTATTATTATTCTCTGACTGTTTCTTAAAAGAACCAGAGACTAGATTATAAAGTACCCATCAAATGCAGGTCACTGCTGCTTGTCATCTGACAGAAGAGCTATAGCTAGAACTTACCACTTACCAACCACAGTTTTAAATTTTTTCTCTTTTAAGCCAATATATTCAAGAAGATGTTTTTGACTTTCTAAAAATGTTAATAATTGGGAAATTTAGGTGAAGAGTATACAGGATTTCACCTTCCCATTCTTTCAAATTCTCTCAAGGTTTGAACTGAGTCAAAATAAAAAGTTAGGGGGAAATACCAACTGATAAATTTTATTAGGTTAAATGTAACAGATGAGTATTCAAAGTAATACATTATGGCCATATACTAGCAAGCTAAACTAGGAAAAAAGTTCTATAACGTATAATCTCACATAGCATTTTCTGGGTCAATGTAACATTGAATATAATGAATGCAACTGATATTGCTTGTTTATGCCACTTCTTCCTTTTCTTCTTCCCAATTCTACCTTTGATCTTCCTATACTCAGTTCTTGCTGATCTTTTGTCCACGGAAAAATGACTAAGCATGGTATGCTTATAGGTGGTTGCTTTTTTCTCTTTACTAACTAAACATTTCTTTTTTTTGTTTCGTTTTCAAGCATATTTTAAAAATTAACAAAGCAAATGCTGAGAAAATTCTGGTTTCTCTCTCCTTCCAAAAAAGGAGCAGTCCACAGTTTGGCTCAGTGGTTAGAGCGTCAGCCTGCAGACTGAAGGGTCTAGGGTTTGATTCCAGTCAAGGGCAGGTATCCCAGCTGCAGGCTCGAATCCTGGCCCTGGTCAAGGTGCTTGCAGGAAGCAACCAATCAATGTCTCTCTCTCACATCGATGTTTCCCTCCCTCCCTCTCCCTCTCTCGCTCTCCCTCTCTCCCTTCCAAAAGCAACGGAAAAAAATATCCTCTGGTGAGGATTAAAAAAAAAAAGAGAAAAATGTTTAAACAGTTTCATTTACTGAAGTTGATTCATTAATGCAAATTCCCACTACAGCTATTACCATTCACATTATTGGGATGACTAATGATCAGATTTGAACCATAGATGAGAGGCACACCTTCATTTTTAATGCTTCTCAACTTCCTTTGAAAATTAATACTTTTTTAAAATATATCTTTATTGATTTCAGAGAGAGGAAAGGAGAGGCAGAGAGAGAGAGAAAAACATCAATGGTGAGAGTCATTGATTGGCTGCCTCCTGCACACTCCCGACTGGGGATCCAGCCCACAACCTTGCATGTGCGTGACCAGGAACTGAACAGCGATATCCTGGATCCTAAGTCGATGCTCAACTGCTGAGCCATGCCCAGCCGGGCAAAAATTAATAATTTTTAATGGCAATTCAAGCCCCTCCTTCTCAATTACCCACTGAAATGACAAAAGAAATTTTAAAAGGAATTCTAGCTCATAGATAGCATCGTTAGTTACAGCTAGATGAACAATCCATGCATGTACTCTGACCTTTGCAGTGTAGTGAAGAAGGACATTACCAGGAAGGTCGGCCATGTCAGACTCTTGAAATTTCCAAGGGCTTAAACAGTTTGGACCTGAAAATTATTTATACACACACACACACACATATCATTGAACAGATACAGCCTCTTAGGTTCTGTGTAATCAGAACAAAACTTAAAACTGAGCTGTTTCAAGCTACTCATATAACATAGTTAAAATACCCTAGCCAAAATGTACTTTATTTTTACATCGCTTCCAATCTATCCAAAACCTAGGAAAGTTGGGGGCATCAATCTCCCCTACAGAAAGGAAATGTATAAAACTAATATCAAATATAACAAAGCTTATCCATTAATTTATCTAATGTAAACCAATTCAAATTTATAAGACAAAATAGCAAAATAATCAATGATATGAATAGATATCACAGAAATGGAATAACAAATGAACAGGAAAAGATTCTTGACTTTACTGGGGGGAAAAAAAAATCAAAGAAATACAATTAAAACTGGTTCCATTTTACATAAAAAAATGGAGGAACCAGTACTGACCATTACACCTTAATGAGGCTGTGATGAATCTGGTATACTTATGTATTACTGATAGGGAATGTCAACTGCTACCCCTTTTGGAAGCTGACTGGGTAACATGTGTTGAGAGCCATAACAAGATTCACACACTTTGAATATTTATCCTGGGAGTTTATCAAAAGTAAATACATCAAAATAAGAAAAAACTAGTAAGTACAATTGACCATATTTAATATTTGAAGTTTATATCAATATTAAATATTATACACAGCCTAAGTAAATCATGAATTATGAACCCAATATAATATGCAGCCATTAAAAATGATTATGAACACTATATAACAAATGATTATTTACAAAAGTAGAATTATAAGCAGGGAAAATTGTAAGAACAAAATCCAAACTATAGAGCTGAGGATTACACTAAATGGCTTATTATTAATTTGGAATTTACATAAATTATAAAGCTCAACTTCAAATACTTTGGTGAGTTTTAAAGTAATTAAAAGTTTCTAAACCTCGAAAATTTGGACATTCTCATTCATCTCAAAACTCCCATGTAATCTAAAACAGAAATTTTGACAAATAATAAGCCATTCTGCACAGTTAATATACATGGCTACTTAAAGGCTTAACTCCTGAACAATCTACAAAAACAGAGATAATTCTGAAAAGTAATTATGACCCAATAATAATCTGTGTATATCTGAGATCACAGCCAAAAGAAAAGAAGTCAAAATAAAAACAGCTCATAATTTTACCTGAGGACTCGTAATCCTACCGCCTTCATGAATTCTTCAGGTATATTAACACATCAATTATAAAAATGACAAGTTTGAAATAAAACTCATGATTTTAGAAGCAGTCATGTAATTTCTTATGAAGATGGGCTTATATTTTGTTTCCTCAATTTATTAAAATCTGTCAAAAGTATTAAGGACTGAACTGCATATCCCCAAAATCTGTATGTTGAAGGTATAATCCCCAACGTGACTGTATTTGGAGATAAGGCCTTTAAAGAGGTTATTAAAGTTAACTGATGTCATAAGGGTGAAGCCCTAATCCAATGGGCCCCTTATAAGAAAAGGAAAAGAAACCAGAGATATCTCTCTGCACACATACAGAGAATAGACTCCAAGTGAGGACACAGCCAAGAAGGCAGCCATCTACCAGCAAGGAATAGAGGCCTCACCTGAAATCAAGCATGATGGAAAATTGATCTTGAAATTCTAGGTTCCAGAATTGTAACAGTGTTTAAGCCATCCAATGTGTGGTATTTTGCTATTGCAGTCCTAGCGAACTAATACTAGGCAGTTTTATGGGTCATATTTGAATATTTCCCAAAGTTTTGTTCTATTTATGCCTACCAAAAAGAGTATGGTGTACTATAAAATTAATAATACCACATAATATACTTGAAAGTTGTTAAGAAAGTAGATCTTAAATATTAACACATATAAATATGTTAATTATGTGAGGGGACAAAGGCGTTAACTATTATGGCAATCATTTTGCAATACACACGTGTATCAAATCACGCTGTATACCTTAAACGTACATATGTTACATGTCAATAACATCTCAATAATGCCAACGCGGGAAAAGTATGGTGTGTGGTGGGGTTTTTCTTCCCTTTAAGCTTCAATGAAAACAAATACTCTTTTCAGACTTAAGCAACAGAAAAAACTAAGTTTAATTAAACAGTATGAATGTTAATATACTCACCTGCTAAATATAACGCCTTCACCTGAGGAGGCTGTAGTGCTTCATAGAAGATGATGACAGACCCTAGCTGACCCTCCAGAGATGTGGGACATCCCCATTCACTATCCTGGGTTCCTGCCGATATCAATTTGGTAACCAATTTTGATTTTTCAGTTGTTCCTCCCCAGGATGCTGATGACAGAATTCCACCAAATGATGTCCGATGAGGGGTAATGGGAGAAGAAAAAGGTGGATCTGGGATTTGGGATGGTGGAGGAGTGGTGGTTCTTTGCCCAGCTGAACCAATGCAGCAAGAAATAAAAGGCTAAAAATTAAGGAACAAAACAAATTACACAATCTTAATTAAATCCCTAACCTCAATATTTAAAATGAAACAGTATATAAAATTAAGCAAATAAATACATCTGCTGAATCATGATACGTGTACACATAAGAAAACATTACAGATGATAACCTTTGGCCTAATTGATTTGGATGCATTACTTCTATAACTCACTTTCTATCCTTTAGCAAATTTTGAAATTTTTAATGAGTGTATATTAACAAAAATTTTTTAACAACTTTACTATATTCTAAAATAAGAGAAATCTCCTTTTCCCCCTTCAAATTTATAAACAGAGAATTATACATCAGTATCATAATGCTAATTACAGGTTATCCTGAAATGGTCATTAAGACAAACAGCACAAGAAATTATTAGAATCCTACGACTTGGGAAGTAATCTAATCCATTCCATTACCTTCAGAAAAGGCCCTTTCAAAATTATCCATATACTCTCAAAGAACTTTTACACTAATGTTCTTTAAGAGTCGCCCTAGAAAATAAATCCTGTCTTATACTAACTACAACGTGAAGGTATAAAGTTTCTTCATTATTGTTTCCATTTCAATGGAGAAGGAAACAGGTACACCATAACAATCTGTAAGTACTTTGTATTCTAGGAGAGCTTCATTAAAGGATCCTTTGCTCTGCTCTATTCATTTTCTGTGGTTTTCCTTTGGCTGTTGTAAGACTTTAGTTACATTTGTTTCTTCCTTGAATTGTTTTTCTTTATTACATGTTGTCTGACTTCATCTAATGATGACAGGCTAACTGAATTAAATATTAACCTACTGTAACTTAGAATGTAGAAAACATTAAAATTTACAGGCACATATTTAGAAGAGAACCTTCGACATTAAATTGAAAAATTTCAAGAGTTCTCAATCAATTAGTCCTATAAAGAATAGGTTAGATGTGCTTACTTCATTCATGGCAGGAAATCTGAGAGGGGCAGAGACCTTTTGCTGTCCATTGTCGTAGATATAGACAAGGCTCTGACCAAAGGGCCTTTTTCCAGGCATGTGAACAATGGTTATGTTGTGCTGGTAAAGTAAAACATATATTTAAAAAATAGGGAAAATCAAATCAAGTTTTGGGAATGACAGTATTTTCAGAGTATTACTCTATAACTAGTTTATGTGAACAGCAGAACATTTAAATAAAAGCATAACAAAATGCCGATTATAAAATGACCTTAAAATAACATTTTTTTCTACAGTACTATAAAAGCACTTACGTCTATTCTACAAATCTATACACAACTGTAACACAACATATTTTCTGCATTTTCCAAGTCTATGATTATTCTTTAGAATCAATTTTTTTCTAATGAAAAACATTTTATATTTTAAGAAGAGCAACAGAAATAGTTTTTAACAATTTATGTTCTCATTTCAAGTTGGAATTCAAAGTCAAATTTAATTCTAGAACACTTGAAAGAAACATTTCATTTTAATTTTTTAGCAGAAAAATGATTACTGCTAAATTTACAATGAATGATAAATGGCATTAACCTCCTTATAGATGAACTTCAACATGAACAGAAAGTGAAAATTAATCAACTCTCCAAAAGCAGATGACAACACTTGATGTACATGCACCAAACATGTGCTTTTTAAAGGAAAGAATCAAGAAGTTAAGTGTGATCTCTAAAGCCTTACCCAGAGGGAATCACAGAAACTGTGGTCAGGAAGCATAACTGTTGCATATTCTCTTTTCGTGCACACTGCCACAACCAACATACCTGAATGGGTAATAAAAGCTTCAAAACCCATGCCACTTCCTGTAAAAAAGCTAACAAAAATATATATTATCAGAACTTCTGAAGTCAGTTATTCAGTTTTATCATCACTGAAGCATACAAAGCCATAGTGTCATCATAAGTATCTTTGCCAAACACAGTGTGGCTTACATTCTATTGCGACACGTCAGTCCAATCTTGCTTCAAAGATGATTTTTAAATATTTTTGGGGCATAAGAGTTTAGTAAATTATAAAAGGTAGTCTTATAGGTGGAATTCCATTAGTAAACTATAGTAAAGCTATAAACCTTCTAATCTTAAAAATTTGCCCAAATAAGAATCAGAAAACATGAATAAAGGTCTTAAAAATCAAAGACATATTAAAAATTATTACTGAAATAACTAATTTTGGATGTACATACATATAGGATTTCTGGTACTTCATATAATTATATAGCACCTTCAATCGGACAGAGATTACCATTCAAGTTTATTATTCCTTTTTTCTCCATTTTTACAATATTTTTAAGATGGAACTTGTTTCCAAACTAACCTCAGAACTTAAATAGCAAAATATTTAAGATATACAATTAACATTATGAAAGCAACAAAGCATCTATAATTAAACTGTGTATACCCTAAGGATGAAGAAGCTTTAGATAACTTGTATATTTAAAAATTAGATGCTTGAGCTGCATTTGTGCTTCTGAACTCAACCATCTATATAGCACTGTAGGGGAAAGGACTGCTGACACTTTCATTAAAGTTAACTGAGAAATAAAAATTTTTAAAAACAAAAAATAGGTGCTTGGAAAAGCTTTTTTCTTTGTAAGAATCACAGCATATATCCCATGAGAGTATTCACTTAGATTTCATAACTTGTACTGGTACCTGTACAACTGTTTTCTTTTTCCTCCTTTGTTAGCATTGCCAAGAGTCAACTGATCCAGATCTAAGCAAAACCAAGCATTGAAGGAAAAGGCAGACCCTGGCCATTTCTGTATGGAAGGCACAGAAATTCCTGCCATACTATGAGACAAATTGAAATACTGCAGTGCACTCTCTAGACTTTGTTTTCGGGCCATTGTCAGGATTGCCCGAGTCACAGGAGTAGTATAAGGGTGAATATACTCAGATTCATCCACTCTGAGCAGTCTCAGCAGTCGATGCAATTCTTCTGAGCTCACTGACTGACTCCCCAAGGAACCATGGAGAGCGATCAGGTTCTCCGCACAAGTTCGATGGAGGGAAGAACGGCAATCAAGGGTTTCAATGATTCTAATTCCCATATTTGTATTGACACAAGTAGTTCGACTCTGCCTGTTAATACAACAAATTCTTTTCAGCCAATCAGAGATGAAGATCTGCAGGTCCTGGGATTCTAGCTCAGGAAGCCACCGGATAAGAAGCAAGAGAGGCTGCACATTACTAATGCCCAAAATACCAACTGAAGTGTGGTCGCCCTCTACGGCCTGTAAAACAACACAAGAGACAAAAGGTGAATCACTGTCTCTGATATGGAGATAACAGAACTTATTTTAATAACGCTAAAAAACTCACCATATTCATAAGTTCTTTAAGTAGTTCCAGTGATGGCTGACCCAGGGATTTTAATACTTCAAACATATGTGTATAGCCAATTCTTTCTTTAAATACTTCCTAGGGGAAGGAAAATCACATCAAAGCACATTTTCAAAGACCAAATTTGCTAGAATATTTTTTAAAATATTGAATAATAACCATTTAAGCTAATTAATATTATAAAGATTATATGAGTTCAACATTTCTGTTTTCTGAAATCACATGTCTTCATCTTAAACTTCATATACCTTCTGGAATACAATGTTACAATAATCTACCAAAATGTAAAATAAAATTAGCAATAGATGTGTATTATAAAATTATTATATTTTACAGGTTAAGTCACATGACACTTCCTTTACTTTGTTCACTTGATTTATAATTAGAGAAGTATTAAGTCAAAACAAAAATGGAAAAAAATAAGGAGAGTTTGGGAATAACAGGAGTCAAACAGCAGCCTCAAAGGACTAAAGAGTCCTGGCAATTTTGAGTAGTGGCCAAAAAAACCCAAAAACTTCCTAGGTAGACTCTATCTAAAGGGTCTGAATTAGCTGGAGCACTGAGTTCACTTTAGTAAGGTCTAAATCATGTATTTTTGAATTAATAAGACACAAAGCCATAAAGTAAAATAGAAAGACAACCAAAAAACCTAGCAATACTAAACTGGTCCAGTAAAGTAAGCAAAAATATATAAAATTAGAAAATCTAAAAGCTTAAACAAAATGAGTAAGACTGGTTGTCTCTGAGGAGAGGAACTAGCCTACTGTGAATCAAGGGTAAAAAGAAAATATTTTCAAAAGGTATTTTTTAAATAATCTTTTTAATTTTAAACTATGCAAGGTATTATATACTATAAAAAATTATCCTGTACAAAGCTTTGAACATCATTTTAGGTTTGAATTTCGTAATACAGTACAAGCACAAATCCATTATACTCATAAGCCAAATTACTTAGAACTTAAATATGATCTTTTTCCTTACAGAAACTGTTATAAATGGAGATTATATTCCCAAGCCAGCCTGTAACAGTTGTAAAAGCCTATTCAGCAGAATCTAACCAAGAGTCATATATAGCAACAATATAGGACAAAAATTAGTCTCCTAACAAAAACCAACGAAGAGTGGACTATAACTGAAGGCATGGCGTAGGGAACAAGGAGTAATTCATTATTTCTGGTACTAGAACGGTAATTAAGGCATGAAACATATTAGAAGTGATGGATAAAAAGGTAAAAGGTAATAATAACAAGGAATTACATTTTAAGCCCTTATCATGTGCCTGGCACTGCTATGCTTCCCACTTTATACAGATGATCTCATTAACCCTTAAAACTACTCAATGAGGAAACTACTAGCACAAGGTCAGCATAAGTGGACAGCAGGGCAGAGTCAGTGGTAGTAAAACAAATGAGAAGGGAAAGAAAAATCCTGAGGGTTAGTGATTACAACCAAAGAAGCAGAATTTTCATGGGCATATGGAAAAACAAGTCCTGAATTGGTAGGGCTGTTGACATGTGAAAAATGTTCTGTTCTTGGCAGTCAGAAACTGACCAAAGAGTGAAAGAGTGGTTATTTTCTTAATAAAGAAAAACTATGATATAAGATTTAATTCTTTAAACACGCTACCATAAAATCACTTAAAAAAATCATTTCAACATTTCAAAGCCAGTGCTTTCTTCCTATGCGTTGACTGACACTATAAATGCTTACTAACTTGCAGTTTAGTCATCAATGTCTAATCCCAAAGCAGTGCTCACAAGTATCTGTCTTTAAAATTATCAGAAAAAAACGATTCCTATACTAAGATGAGATATTTTTTGTGAACTATTTCATTTCAGGTGTGAAACTGTACATATTACACACTTTCATACAAGACTTTGGGAATTATATAATGAAAACTGGCAAATCTAAGATAACATTTTAGAGCTTGGGGATATATATTTCACCTTAGCAGCTGGAGATTTGTTCATTACTGCTGTCAAAGCCTGAATGGTTGATACAGCCAAACAATCCAACTGCCCCTGAAATGCCTACCAGAGAGGGGAAAAAGGCAAGAAATTAACAAATGCAGTCAATATTTATATTCAGTTAGGAAACCTTTGTTCTGGAAACCTGAAAAAATAATTATTTAACATGCAATACATTCCTCTTCCAATAAAATGGATTTCTGAAACACTATAGAACCTGTAAGAAAAGTTATCTACTTGACAGAAAATAAACCATGTGTCAAGAAGGATAGGGTTACATTCACTCATTACATTAAAATGTTTTGGGGGGGAAAAACCACAAAACACCAAGCTTATTACATGCTGTGTTTTTTGTTGTTTTATTTTAATGGACAATCTCAAGAGGAAGGGAGGGAGGTCTTCTACTATGTTTTAATTTTCCTTAAAAATATAAATGAAATTCCTAGGTTTAAATTTTATTAGCATGTATAGTAAGATGTCTAAAATAGTCTTGTCTACTTAGTTTCCAAACCCTAAAATGGTATGTGCATATACCAATCAATTAATCACACTTGCAAACAATAAAGTGTATCTATTTTTGCATAAAATGCAGAATTTGAAGAACAGAAAATGAAATATGTATCTATAAGGATTGTCATGTTTTTGAGAAGGTAACCTTTAATACCAAAGTTGTAAGAAAAAATAAAAACCAGCTCTGTTTTGTCTATTTCTGTTTAAGCTTCATCATAAAAAGGAGATGTGTTAAATTTCAGGTCAGTGCATTTATAGCAAAAAAAAACAAAAACAAATATAACCTCAAAAATACTAAAAAAAACAAAACTCTGAACATTGTATCATCAAGCTTAATCAACCATGAAAGCATAAAATAAGGACTAGAAAGTTGTAAAAACTAATAGTCCTGAAAATTTGCTTTTGGGAATATGTTACTATGATTTGAAGCTAGTCCCTCCACAAATAGGATTTTCCTCTCTCCCTCCCACTAAAAAATATCTGAGTAAAAGGGAACTGATTTGACCTATGCTGTCTTAAGCCAAGCTCTATCACTTTCAGGCAAGTTATTTAAGCTGATATCTTGGTTTTTGTTGATGTTCTTTGTTTATCAAACATTACATAAAATAAAATCAAAAATTACATTACATTAAACATTGTGCATACAGAATTGCATACAAATAAAATCTCTCCTAGAATTGTCTAAGAGGACTAGCCATCATAGTATCTAAAATTAGAAACATTAATATAAACCTCTAAGAAGATTACAACTATTTTGTTAATCTATACGAAGACCCTAAGAGGGACTAGTACTTATAGAGAAATCTAAAACAGTACTCTGTAATTGATATTGCACATCCAGAAGAGAAAATGATAGATTACCATGTCTCTTTCTATACCATAGCTCTACTTATAAACCTAACATTAAGATAATGTGAATAATGACATCATGTAGGCTCTTTCAAACATTTTAGGAAAGAAAAACAAAGCAATTTTGTAGATGGTCTATCCAAACTAAATAACATATTATAAAAAGCAATATAACTACTATATTTCTACCTTATTCCCATATAGAGTTGAATATTTAGAAAAAAGTTAAGCCTTATTATAAATTAAGACTGAAAGAGTTCGGCATCTTCTTCCCTTCCTCCAAGATTCAGGCTGTCCATTGAATTATAATCATTATTTGTCAACAGGAAGCAAAGAATCAAGATATTAAAATTGACCAACATTTTCATAAACAAAGCCCTAAAATCCCAATACACCACAATGCTTAGAAAAGGAAGCCCCCAAAATAAGAAGTCACCACCAGGTGGACAGCATTGATACTGGGATCCCATTCCTGTACTTTATATCTCCTCACACTGAAAAGAACATACACATATACAGAGGAAGGCTGCAGATCATTTATATCAACCACTAAAATTTTAATATATTTTATCTTTTAGATAAAAAATTTTAAAATTCAAATTGCTTTTAACAATTTTCAAAAATGATTTATAAAGATTAGAATTAGATAATGTTTGATTATTTTAAGACAAAAGAAAAAAAATACAGGAATAGTTGCTCCCATTGACTGATTTTGGACTTCAGCTGAAACAAGATGCAGGCTTTGTAGATACCTGGTCCTCATTTATTTCTGTCAGTAATTTGTTGGCAAGGTCTTTCTCGTTCTTGTCTGCCACCTTATTGTTAGCATTTAAAAATAGCTGTTAAAAACAGAGACAAGAATAATGGAGAAAGAACATTAAATTGTTAACCTATAAGAAATAAAGCTAAAATGGATTGCCATGTCTCATGAAAATAAATTCAAGAATCCACTTGTGAGGTATACCACTTTTAAACTGACAATCAACTATTCATTTTTTATAACAAACAGTAGATCATATACTATAATTATTATTTATTTCTCTCTTAAAACTCAAAGTAACTAAAATAAGAAACAGCAATAATTAAATTAGTTGACATTCCTAAATTCTTAAAGAATAAGCAGAGAATGTCCCACAGAAAATATGTTATTGAGACAGACAAAACTGTAGTAATATTGTACAGTAAAAGTTCTGTAGACAAGTATGTTTGTGATATGCTATTAAATTAACTTCAAAAAGGGCTTTAGGTTTTTTTCAGAAATACTTTTCAAAGTCTCAAATATGCTAACGCGTACTTTGACAAGAGAGGTCAACGGGCAGCTTTTTCCAAATTTATCTGACCACACGTTTTGTTAAAAATTCTGTAACAGTTTTCTCCAACTACAAATCAACAGTATTAATTTTGAGTTTATTCTTGTGTATGCTGTAAGTTGGTGGTCTAGCTTCATAGTCTAGCTTCATTTTTTTTTGCATGTACCTGTCCAATTTTCCCAACACCATTTACTGAAGAAACTGTCTTTACTCCATTGTATGCTCTTGCCTCCTTTGTCAAATATTAATTGACCATAAAGGCATGGGTCTATTTCTGGGATCTCTGTTCTGTTCCACTGATTATATCTGTTCTAAGTTGTGAAACCATAAAAATCCTAGAAGAAAACATAGGCAGTAAAATCTCAGACATCTCATGTAGGAATATTTCTACTGATATATCTCCTAGGGCAAGGGAAACAAAGGCAAAAATAAACAAATGGGACTACAACAAATTAAAAAGCTGCACAGTAAAAAAAAAAACCGTCAACAAAATGAAAAGGGAACCCACTGTATAGGAGAACCTGGTCACCAGTGATACATCTGGTGAGGGGTTAATTTCCAAAATATATAAAGAACTCATACAACTCAAGAAAAGGAAGACAAACAATCCAAGTAAAAAATGGGCCAAGGACCTGAAGAGACACTTCTCCACAGAGGACATAGTGATGGCCAATAGACATATAAAAAAATACTCAATGTCACTAATCATCAAAGAGATGCAAACTAAAACTACAATGACATATCACCTCACAACTGCCAGAATGGCTGCCATCAATAAATCAACAAACAACAACTGCCGGTGAGGGTGTGGAGAAAAGGGAACCCTCATGCACTGTTGGTAGGAATGCAGACTGATGAAACCACTGTGGAAAACAGTATGGAGTTTCCTCAAAAAATTAAAAATGGAGCCCTGTCTGGGTGGCTCAGTTAGTTGGAGCATTGTCCTGTACACCAAAAGGTTGTAGGTTCAATGCCTGGTCAGGGCACATACCTAGGCTACAGTTCCATCCTGGGGCTCAGGACGTACAGGAGGCAACCGATCGATGTTTCTCTCACACATTGATGTTTTTCTCTCTTTCTCTTTCTCCCTCCTTCTCTCTCTCAAAATCAGTAAAACATATCCTTGGGTGAGGATTAAAAAAAAAAATTAAAAATGGAACTGCCTTTTGATCCAGGGATCTCACTTCTAGGAACACATCCTAAGAATCCCAATTGGAAAGAATATATGTACCCCTATATTCACAGCAGCACTATTTTCAGTAGTCAAGATCTACAAACAGCCCAAGCGACCATCAGTAAACAAGTGGATAAAAAAGCTGTGATACATTTACACAATAGAATGCCACTTGGCCATAAAAAAGAAGGAACTCTTGCCCTGGCCAGTGTGGCTCAGTTGGCTGGGCATCCTCCTGTGCACCAAAGTGTTGCCAGTTCAATTCCCAGGCAAGGCACATACCTAGGTTGCATGTTTGGTCCTTATCGGGGCACATATAAGAGGCAACCAATCAATGTTTCTCTTCACATTGATGTTTCTCTCTCTCTCTTTCTCTCTCTCTCTCTCCCTCTCTCCCTCCCCTGTCCTCTCTCTAAAATCTATGAACATGTCTTCGGGTGAGGATTGAAATTATAAGAAACTTTGGACTGTATCATACAAGAGCAAATATTAGCTCACTATCATGACAGCTATTTCAAACAAATTTGTAATTTTTAAAAAGATGTTGACTGTGACATATTTTTAGAACTATATCTGAGTTTCATATATTGAAAAAAATCACATACTAATAAATTGTAGTAGGAACTACATTTTATATTAATGATTTATCCTTCTATAATGTGTGAATGGTAGGTTCTCTACATATGTGAGATTTTGTCTTTATCAGTGAAGTTGCCTTTATAGTTGAAAAAGCCAAATGGCATTTTTACAACAAATAGAAGGTTTTATAAACATTTCTCTTATGCTGCTTTCATTTCCCCGGGATCTCTTTCCCAAGAATGAAGGGTTTCTTTAAAATATGTTTCATTGATTTTAGAGAGAAAGGAAGAGAGAGAGGAAGAGAGAGAAACAACATGAGGGAGAAACATCAATGGTTTGCCTCCTGCATGCACCCACCCGGACTGGGGATAGCACCCGCAACCTGGGTATATGCCCTAACCAGGAATTGAACTGGTAACCTTTGGGTGTATTGGGATGACACTCAACCAACTGAGACACACTAGCCAGGGCAAGAATGAATGATTTTTAAAAGGAGGGGGAAGGCATATTAAATCTCTAGTGGTAATCTGGTACTTACACATTGACTTCATAGATATTCACTACTATTTACTTAAATTAATATATCCTTTTTTATGCTATTCTTTACTATTTTACTGTTAGTTAAGCATAACGGTTACATTAATGCTTTCAGTGTGGAAAAATTCAAGGAGCTGATATTAAAATCCTTATTCTGAAATATTCTCACAGAATCAAAATGAACCTCTAGTACTTTTCAGCAGGGAGTCCATGAAAGGAATTCCTCAAATAAAAAGGTAAAAGCTCTTTGAAGTAGTTTCATTTTCAAAGGCTTCTCCAGCAGCTCTCTAAAATATTTGATACCATCTTGAAATTTATAAAAATATGATATAATAACCAGAGATATTACTTATGTGCTTACACACAAATCTGCCACACGTGTAAATTAGTAAAAAATAATAAGTATATTGGCAGCATACATCAAGGACTTCAACAGTATTTCTAGTTTTCTACATTTCCAATGATTTAAGTTGTTTTAATACAATGTTCCTCAACCTTAAAAAAAGCTTATGCCCTTTGACATAGCAATCCTACTAGAAATAAAATTATATTTTATGAAACTTGAGAGTGTTATGTAATAGGAAAAAACAAACAAAAAACTGGAAACAAATTAAGTATCTACCAGTAGGGAACGATTAAGTAAATTGTGATTTATCCACTTAATATAACATCATGTAGATATTAAAATCATAACAGAAAAATACTAATGTAAGTCATAAATGAAACAGAAGTGCCAAATTATACGCATCAAATGCTCACATATTTTAATAATGCATAACAAAAAATACTTTAAAACTCAACAAAAGAAACAAACAATGCAATTTTAAAAGATACAAAGAACTTGGAATGGACATTTCTCCAAAAAAGATAAACAAATGGCCAAAAAGCACATGAAAAGATGCTATTACGAATCATCAGAAAAAGGCAAAACAAAACATGAGATATTATCTCACACCCATTAGGACAGCTCTTATAAAAAATTTTTTTAAAAAAGACAACAACTCTTGATGAGAATGTGGTGAAACTGGAACCCTTGTGCACTACTGGTAGGAATGGAAAATGGTACAGCCATGAAAACACTGTAGCAGTTCCTCAAAAAATTAAAAATTGAATTACTATATAATCCAGCAATCTCACTTCTGGACATATACCCAAAAGAATTAAAAGCAAGGTCTCCAAGAGATATCTGTATAGTCATTCACAGCAATATTACCCATGACAGCCAAAAGGTAGAAGGAAAACGATGAATGAATAATACAAAATGTGGTGTACCCACACACACACACACACACTCACTCATACACGCAAACTATTATTTGGCCTTAAAAAGAAAGAAAATTCTGCTATATGATACAACATGGATGACTCCTGACGACATTATGCTAAATGAAATAAGCAAGTCACAAACAAAGCAAACACTGTTATGCTTCCACTTACATGAGATACTAAAGGTAGTCAAAATCAGAGAGACAGAAAAGTTGCTGAGGGAAAGGGAAAATTTGGAGTTGTTTAACAGGTATAGACTTTCAATTTTACCAGGTGAAAAGAAATACGGGGAATGGATGGTAGTGATGGTTGCACAACTATGTGAATGTGAATGCACTTAATAATGTGCTCTGTACACTTAAAAACAGTAAAGATAGTACATTTTATGTGTATCTTTCCACAATAAAAATGGTAATAATAATATGCTCAAATTTGAATCAAAACATAAAATAACTTCTTAAAAACAAAGAACAGTAATAATAGAAAAATACCTTGCAATTCTGTAGCAGTCGTATGAGATGTTCAAAGCAATTACTGTTAAGAAAAATGGCCTGAAGAACAGGTCTATCTGTGCAGTCTAACATCGCTGTGATGGTATCTAGGAGAACAAAAATAAAATCATCCATTTATAAAGTAGAATATTTGGGATCATAGAAATATTTACTCTAGCCATATTTTAAATTTAGGCTTTTCAGATGACAAACAGAAGTAAATTAATTAGGAAATAACAGGGATGGGTAGTAGGAAAAAAATCTATGCTTCTAACTTGATAAGAAAAGCACTTCTATACTTTATTATTAAAAATATTTAATTTTATACATGAGTGATATATATTTCCCAGAGTTTACTTAATTGTTCTTCAATTATAATGCTCAAGTATAACCAAATGAGTTCCCAACTTTCTGTTACTAAGCAGCATGTGATAATGTTTGGCAACATAATCTCATTTATATAGAATAAAATTAACATATGGCTACTATGAAAATGAGACTCAGTTAATTAATCCATCTGTGATGGTGCTTTGCTCCTTTCCTACTGAAGGCTCCCATTCAGAAGTCAAAGAACATCTGCACCCCTATGTTCACTGCAGCATTATTTACAATAGCCAAGGTATGGAAACAGCTCAAGTGCCAATCAGTAGGTAAGTGGATAAAAAAGCTGTGACAGCATGAATGGACCTGAAGATTATTAAGCTAAGTGAAATAAGCCAGTCAGTGAAAGACAAATACAAGATGTTCTCTCTTATATGTGGAATCTAATGAACAAAATAGAAACAAAGGTTTCCATGGATACATGGAACAGACTGACAGCTGTCAGAGGAAAAGGGACTAGATGTAAGAAGGTGAAGGGATTAAATTAAAAACATATATATAACACACATAGACACTGTGGTGACAGCCAGAGGGAGAGGAGACTGGGGGTAGGTGGAAGTGGGGAAAGGGGGGAATAAATAGGGACGAAAAGAGGTTTTGCTTTGGGTGATGGGTGCACAATAGTGTGCGCAGATGATGTTTTGTTAAGTTGTACATTTGAAAGCTGTATGGTTTTGTAAACCAATGTCACCCCAATAAATTCAATTAAAAAAAAGAATTCAAAGAATATTTGGCATAGGTAATATGACAGTTTCCAACAAAAAAGAAGTCCATTCAATATAGTCTCAAATTCCCTTAAAAGCTTACAATTTATAACTATAAAACCAACATGTTATAGCATATAAAAGAATAAAATACATATAAGATGGATCTTATTTCTCTATAGAAACACTATTGTAGTGGCTCATTAAGTTTCACCAAGACTTTGACATCCAATATATTTAAATTGGACACCACATACACACCCACACAAACTTTTTTTTTTAGTCTGCAGAGCTACACAACAAACCATTAATGTTGGCTATGTCTAGATAATAGGATATAAAAAGTTTTATTGTCTCTTTACTCATGTAAATTTCCTAATTTAATTGTAATAAAAATATTTTCATTCTATAAAAAGGAACTCTCAGTAATATTTTTATCTATCAATCTAACATGGGAATACAATAAACAATTACATATTGGTGAAGGAGCTTGCAGACAGATAAATAAGCACAGAGAGATGGCACATAATAACCAACACAAACGGAGGAAAAGAGAAATAAGACAGATAGACACAAACACCCACACAGGTTCTGAGGAAAACAAAACAAATACCAGACGTCCTCTACAGGAAGGACAGATGTTGAAGTAGTCTCTATAGAGATGTTATAGAAGCACATACAAAATTGATTGTGACTCTTTGCCATAGGTTAGAAACTACAAATAGCACTTTCTGAAAATACGGGTGGAGGAGAGGGTGTGTATATTAGGAAGGGAGGGGTAGAGGGATTAAGTAAAAAAAAGAAACGTAAAAAATATATAATGGCCTTGTATTTCAAATGAACTTGGGAAACATAAAAGTAAAAAAAAAAAACAGACTCAGAGAAAACTGAGTATGATAAACTTAAGTGATACTTACTCAGCATTTTTATCTGTAGAGCTATGAACCGGCTTTCCCACTCTCTGGACCTCCTTTGATTAGGTAAAGCTGAATGATCTGAATTCAGTAATTTAAAATAGTTCTCCAGAATAGTGCTGGTTTCCACCTGGCGCTGGTCCGAGCTGCTGGTGAGAAGGATGTGTACCACTTCTGTGAGGCACTGGAGAGTCAGCTCTACCTTCCTACCCGCGTCTTCAGGATCTCGGTCCTCCCAGGGATCACAGTCTGCCAAAGCTCTCATAAGGACTTCCATGGTGGCTGGAGAAATTGCTTGCAAAGCATTCCTCTGAAACATGACAGACAACAAAAATGAAACCCAAAAAACTAAAGTTCTGTATGTTTCCAAAAAAAAGGAACTCAGTCCTAGCTGGTGTGGCTCAAGAGGCTGGAGCGTCAGCCCTCAAACCAAAGGGCCATGGGTTTGATTCCCAGTCACAGGCACATACCTGGGTTGCAGGTTCGATCTCCAGCCCTGGCCAGCGTTCACACAGGAGGCAACCAATCGATGTGTCTCTGTCACATCGATGTTTCTCTCTCTCTCTCACTCCCTTCAACTCTCTCTAAAAAGCAACAGAAAAAATATCCTCAGGTGAGGATAAAAAATAAATGATTTTTTTTAAATTAACAAGTCTTCAGACAACTTTTTATTTTAGTCTATCAATTATAAAACATTTTAAATCAGATACTCCGACAGACAATAGTAGTGTCTTCATTTGGTCACTAACAGAATCCTTATTAAGACAGCAATCTCCCCACACAGAAAACTCACCACCCCCTCTTGCAGCTAGGAATAGTCATATGATATAGTTTTGTCAAGGATGTATGCCAGTAGACTATAAAGAGGATATCACTTTACAAATAAAGGACCCTTTGCTCTTGGTCTTTTTACGTGTTTCCTGCCTAGAATGCAGACATGATGCTTGGAGTCACCTTTATATCACAAAGAAATAAACCCAAGAATTAAAGTAAGCAGGCTACAGATAGCAGAACAGGAATACTGAAGGACCATAGTCCTTGGTGGTATGATTGAGTTGCTGTACCAGCCCAGAACTGCCTACGTCTGGATTTCTTGTGTAACAATAAAAAAAAGGAAGAAAGAAAAACTCAATTTGATTTAGCCTCTCTCAGGTTCTCTGTTGGTTATAGCAAATCCATCTCAAATAATACAGATATACAGGGTGTCCCAAAAAAGTGTATAAACACTTTAACAGCTGATAACTCACTTAACTTTCACTCTCTTTCAGGTTTAACTGATTTGAAAAAATAAGTGAAGCCAAACTAAGCTTTGAACGAAGAAAATTATCCTAAAGTGCCACTCGACTTTTTTTATGGGAATACATAAAAGATAAAGTTTATAGTACAAAAGCCAGGAACAGTCAACGAATTGAGGGCACACAAATACCGAACTAAATGATTCTTGATGTTTGTGGTTCCATTGCTTCACATTATCAGCAGTGCCTGGACCAAAAACAGTCATCAGTTTGAAAACGGGCATTGACAAAAAAAATTACTCATTTCTGTAGATTCTTTTAAATTTTGAAAATGAACTGCATGTTAGTAAACATTGAATCTATAATCTTTCAAAGTGCATATACATTTTTTTGGGACATCCTATATATATGGACTGGCGTAGCTCTGAGTCAACACACATTTCTGAAATTTTAATTAACTGGTAACTAGTTAAGGTGATTCATTAAACTTAGAAATAAACAATATATATTGCCCTAAATTGTTAAATTGAGATATAATGAATAAGAACATAGTCATACAAAATCATCTAAAAGTTATACTGAGGCTATTAGGACTGGTTATTATCAACATAATAAATAATATCAATAACAAGTATTATAGAAAAAAATTGCTGATGGTGTACTCATAATTTCCATTTTTCTCTGCTTCCTTCTGAACAGAATCCTTGATATTCTGCTGGATACACGGCTACCAGTAATAAAGATTACATTTCCTAATCTCCCAGCTGCTAAGGAAGCAAGTTTTAACAAAATTTTTATCTGAGTGTATTTGCCCTTTTTGCAATTATCTCATGGAGTTTAGCAAATGAGATAAAAAGACATCAAGTGTCAGCTTTTTAGCATCTCATTAAAAGACAGTTGGTGCACACCACTTGTCTTCTTCATCTCCCCTTTCCTCTTTGTGTGTAAAATGCCCGAAACCTGGGCATGTGCCCTGACAGGGAATCAAACTGTGATCTCCTGGATCGTAGGTCGATGCTCAACCACTGAACCACACCAGCCAGGAAAAGTAACTTCTAATTTAAGCTGTTATAATTTTAGTATTTACTGCTACTTAACCGGGAATCACATAAATCTAATACACCTGTGATTTACTTAGTTTTTATAAGCACAGGTATTTTGTTAAATGTTTTACATATATTATGTATCATTTGGTCCTTATGACTACCCTATATGTATTACTATTTCCAAATTATAAATAAGGAAACTAAAACACATGTAAATAGTTCCTCCAAGGTCATACAACTACTTAGAGATGGACATGGAATTTAAACCTATGTCAGTCAATCAGGCTCCAAAGCTTTTGTTCTTAACATAACACAAAACAAAACAAATATGCCAATGGTAAGGCATGATGCTCTGGGAAAGGAGAAGAGTCATCATACTTCAATATTTCTGCTCTTTATAACATGGTCATTCTTATGCCTTTAGATACTCAGTTCATCTAAATATCATCACCTCATAGTGATGCTACAGTCAACATACAACCTTTTTGACTTCAATATAGTAATTATAGCTATAACCTGATTATAAGGATTTTGAGTTTTCAGTACATAAAATAATAAATTTAGTCTACTTGATTATCATGTTAGTTTTAATTACTGGAGGTCTCTCAGGGCTTGATTACCCATGAACACTAACAAGTCTCTGTGTGTTAAAAAGGAAATGGGATCAAACCAGCTTCTTCCATTAGTTAAAGCAATGTCATTTCCAATTTTATTCACATACACTTATTAATTCTTATTTTTAGTAGTGGAGAAATGATGGCCATCAGGAAATACTAAAGCAAAAGAAAAAGATATCAGCTAATGAAGGTAGATGATAAAGCAAACAAATTGAAAAATACAATTTTGGTCACCATTCCTCTTATTACAGAGACTCCCTCTCTTCTACTAGAGTGAACAGGAGAAGGCAAGGCAGCTCAAGAGGAAACCCAAGTAATATTATATTAATATCTATTATTTTGTCACCAATAGAAATCATATATATTTTCATATATTATAGTTGTTACAGTGTCTTAAAACATCGTTTATCTTCCTCTCTTCTTTGAAATTACATTAATTATACTAGACTTGCTGGCATATCTTTTTATTTAATGTGTTATAAAGCATGTATTACTATGTTACTAGTTTGTTTTATTAACATTTTAGTAACTGTATTTCAGCAAAATTAGTTTCACCCTGGCAGGTATTGCTCAGTGGTTAGAGCATCTGTCCTCGCACTGAAGGGCTGTGGGTTCAATTCCCAGTCAAGGGCACGTACCTGGGTTTTGGGTTCGCTCCCTGACCCTGGTCAGGGTGTGTGCGGGAGTCAACCAGTGTCTCTCTCAGTGTGTCTCTTTCACATAGATGTTTCTCTGTCTCACTCTCTCACTGTCTCTCTGTCTCTCTCTCCCCCCCCCCC